CTTGGTAAAAATTTCTAAAGTAAAAAAAAAATAAGTAGAAGTTAATAAGAAAATTTAAATCTTTTCAACATGAATGCTTCCAAACACACAAAAGTAGAGCATAGGAAAACTGACTCCCAAATACCCATTCCCCAGATTTAATAATTATAAGAACATTTTTTTGGCCTTTTTAAAACACTTAGATAAAACTCACTTTTTTGACATGTACAATTTAGTTGCTTTTAGTATATTCACAAGGTTTTATATTATCACTATCTTATTCCAGAACATTTTCATCCCCCACAGAAGAAACCCTGCACTCTGACATCAGAGGGCATCCCCTTTCCCTGTACACTCACCTGTGGCAGTCAGTAACCTACTTTTTGTCTTTATAGATTTACCTATTCTGGATACTTCTGTATAAATGGAATCATACATTACGTGGCTTTTTATGTCTGGCTCTTTTCATTCATCATATTTTCAAGAATCATCTGTATTGTAGCATGACTCAGTACTCCATTCCTTTTTATAGCTGAATAATATTTCTGTGTGTGAAGTGTGTGTAACACTATTTATTGTAAAGTTGATACACATTTGGGATGTCTCTACTTTTTGGCTCTCATGAATAATGTTGCTGCAAACATTTGTGCACAAGTTATTGTGTGGATATATGTTTTCAATTCTCTTAGGTTATCACCTAGGAGTAGAATTACTGGGTCATTGGTAAATGGATATTTGGGAGTCTGTTTTTTTATGCTCTACTTTTGTGTGTTTTGAGAAACCACCAAACTGTTTTTCAGAGCAGCTATACCATTTTATATTCCCACCAGCAATATATGAAGATTCCAATTACTTTCAACATATCATATTACTTATAGCAATAAAACTTAAATGAAATTTAAATTTCTTCATAGGTTTTTCTCCTTGGAGTATATTCCACTAAGACTGTATATCAAAGTACTGTGTTCTCAAGTCACAGTGTTTCTCTGTATGGTACGTCATCAACCTGGTATTTGTTGCATTTCATTTTCAGGGATTCTCTTGTAGCTTAATAGAATTTTTTGAATATGTAAAACATTTTTGTGGTTCCAAAGTCAAAACTATATAAGAAGATATACTTGAAGAAGAAAACAATAAATACTTGTCCTAGCATTATACTTATAATCCTAAACCTATTTAAGCCTGATTAAAATATTTATTTGGTTACCCCACTGATATCTTGATTGATAAAACATGGGGTTGTGGTAGAGAAAAGATCATTTATAACAAATCATATTTTAAGACACTTGATAGGTTTTATTTAGCATGTGGCATTTAAAGATTTTCAGATGCACTATAAGAGACAAACATAATATCTGAGTTACCTCCTGTTATATCTGAAGGACCATGAGGTACAAGTAATGTAAACTCGAACTACCAAATGCCTCTTGTGAATGTGCATTTGATATACTCTGGCATCTCAAACACAACTCATCTTCCTCCTATGATATCCTTTACCTCAGTTCGTGGCAGTAGCCCAAGTAAGAAAATGGAAGATACCCTGGAATTTGCTTATACAGACTCCTGATTTTTTTCCCCTAGTGTTCTTGTACCATTCCAAAACAACCTAGCAGTCAAGAGAGTGGGCTCTGGACCCTCAGGGTTAGACAGCTGCGTATCTGCCTGAATAAATCTGGTGACTCATTTACACTGTGCTCCTTGTGGATATTTATATTGATGATGGGGATATCCTTTTCTGATCTGCAGAGGAGCCCCATGGTCTAGGGGTATGGTGCTAGAATACAGAGTCTAAATAAGTTTAAATTCAATTTCTGTAACTTATTAGCTATATGATCTTAGTTAATTTAGCCTATCTCTTATTCAGTTTAATTTGCAAAATGGAAAGAATCTTGGTATATTTCATCATCAATTTTATAATAAAGGAAAATTTTTTGGCAGACCCACCATTAGCAGTAGCTAGCTGAAAAGCTAGATCAAGGCCTCCTCTTATTCTGAAGAGTATATCCATAGTCTCTGAAATCACCTAAGACAAAGAAAACCAAAATTTGATTGTAAAACAAAACAAATTCAAATTCATTCTCATATAAGCTCATATAATTCATCTTCAGTTAGAATCTGAATTTAGGCTAAGGCCTTAATTAGCCTTGACTCTTCTAAGTATTTCATGAGTTAATATGAATGTTAATATGGCAAAAACCCTAAGTTCTAAATCAAGGGTTCTCAATCTTTGTTCTACATTGAAATCATCTGAGGAGCTTAAAATATTGATACCTCTGTACCCCAGAGATTCTGGTTAATTGGTCTGGGGAAGGTCTAGGCACAGGGATGTCTAAAAGTTCCCCATGCCAGTTATTTTAATGTGAAAACGTTGAGGACCACTATTCTAAGACATTATTTCTAAATTATAGCCTTAACAATGACACAAAAACATCAGTCGTGGAGAACTAGCTAAATGGGAGGAGAACACTGAATGTAATATGGTAACACCTGGTGGTCAAGAGGATAAGAAACTAATACAACACTAATGGTGGGGGTATGAACCATAGAACTTTTCAAAGGGGAATGTGGCAATAAGAATCAAAAGCCTTATGTTCATATTCTTGGCCTAGTGATTCTGTGTTTAGAGATTCAGTCTAAGAAAATGTGCAAAACAAAGATTTAGGCATAAGGATGTTAATCTAAATGTCAACAACAGGAGATTGGTTAATAAATATGAATATTATACAACCACAAAAAATCATGTTTTAGAGGGATACTTAATGGCATAGGCAAATGCTTGTAACTTAAAAAGGGAAAAATGCACATGTAAGATAGAAGCTATCAGTAGTTCTTAAGTTGGGTCCAAATGATGAGTTTCAGGAAGTTGACATATGACAAATGACATGCATACTTTTGTTGTGGGCATGAGGGGATGGGGAGGAGGAAGGGAACCTCTGGAGAGAGGTTCCAAAGATTTCATCAGATTCTCCAGATATGTCTCAAAAAGGCTGAATAACCATACTACACAGTAAGAACCCTATTTTGAAATAAATGAGAGTAAGTACTAACATTTATTGAGCTCTTAAAATGTAAAAGGCACTGTACTAAACGACCAGACATATATTAAATGATTCTCAGAACATTACTAAGTAGGTTCCATTACTAGATTTATCATTTACAAATCCCTTGTCATATTTTTTAAGTTTTTTTTTTTGCTGTTTTTTATTACATAAATGGTGGCCTGTTGAAAGGCCATACACTTTGCCCTGATTTTACTTCTAATAATTTATTCTAAGGAAATAGTCAAGATACTTTGGGACAAATCTAGCTTCAATGTTATCCATATATCTTACTGTTGTTCACCATAGCAAGGAAAAAAAAAAAGAAACCACCTAAACGGCTATCAATAAGACATCAGTTAAACAACAAAATCACCATACAGAATACTGTACTCACTTGAATAAAATATATGTAATGACAAAGATACTGATGAAGATGAAAGTTAAAAAAAGACAGGCAGTAGCACATTCTGTTGCTTACTATGTGATTTTGCACAATTTAATCAGGTCTTCTGTAAAATTGGAAAAATACACGACTTTATAGGTTGTGGTGAAGTACTAGAATCTCCCTAGACTTCTGAATTGAGATCCTCTCTAAAGAAATAATATTTAAGCTGAGATCTGAAGTATTAACAATTCCAAAGGAAAGATGGCAGCGGAGGTGGAGAAGCCCATTACAGGCGGGGGCACACATGGGTAAAGACCTGCTTAAAAGACCATTTAAGTAATAGATTACCGCAGATGGTTAGATCTGATGGCGGCAAGGACAGGCAGGGATGGTTAGAGTAGAGAGAGTGAAAACTGACAGCTATTTAGAGTAGAACCTATAGCACTTGATTATTCAGGAGTTGAGAAGAGGGAGATGTGAAAGATGATTTCTAGGTTTTCAGCACGCACAACAGAGTGGGTGGTGGTGCCATTTACTGAGATGCGGATCATTGGAGGAAAAGCAGGTGTGGGATGAGGGGAGGTGGAAATAACTCCGCTTTCAGCTTGCTGAGTTTTAAACACGTGTGAGTTATCATCCAAGTGGAGGCACAGTTAGTAGATATGTGGATCTGGAGCTCTGAATACAGGTTTAAGCTGGAGATACAAATTTAGGAGAAAGCATACGGTGTAAAGCAAAGCACCCCTGAAGAAAACCACACCTAGGAGAGGGACCGGAGGACCTCCAAGTGCGTTCACAAAGAGACGCAGGGAGGCGCGGGTCCAAACACGGATGAGCTGGGGGCGGGGTTCCTGGCTGTGCGAGGCAGTTTCCCTCCGGCCCTGCCGGGGAGAGGCCGGGGAAAGGCGGCCGCGTTACGGTGATCGCGGCTGTCACTGTGGGTCCCGGCAGGATCAGCTCCTTTCAAAGGCTGTGAAGCCGTATTCGGAGGCTACCGAAGTCAAAGGGAAACTGCGGGGGTCGGTGGCGAGCTGAAGTACTCACCATGTCTGAGACGTGGCGATGACACTGACCCTGATGACCACCCACGGCTCGAGAGGCGGGCCAGGAAGTTGAGTTATAGGGGGCTGAGCCTAGGAAAGTTGACTACAACTCCCAAGATGCCCGGTGACAACGTCATGGGCTGTACCACACTACATCTCCTCGTGGGTGGATAATGGGGCAGGAGGCAGAGGATTTATTCTAGGTAAATTCCATTGGTTGACTCACTCCTATCCTGCAGACACTCAAAAATCTTTCTATGTGATTTTCGATGAGGATTCTTACTCTCTACATATCCTCTCGTGGAGTACTTGAAATGGATTCGCCCGTAGCCGAGGCAACGCGCCGCAATAACACCCGCTGAGCGCAGAACGCGCCAAGGGGCTGCGTGGCCGGGCTCCGGGAGGGAAGCGCACGCGCGAGTGTGGCGCTGGCGTGAGCGCGGTTCGAGCGCGGGTCGCTCCTGCAGCTGAGTTAGTCGGGACTGGAGCTGGGACTGTGGGATCTCGGTTGTCGGATTGGGTGCCCTTCTAAGAGGTGACTTGGTCCTCGCTGCCGTCAGCTGTTGCCCTTTAGATACCCACCTATTCCGAGCCCCGTCTTCCCTAAGAGGAAATCCTTTTCCTCATCACCTCAGCCAGGAGGTTTCTGCCCCTCCCTCACCGCCCCTTCGCCCTCCCGTCTTTGACCCCTACACACCCCTCCACCCGCGGCACTTTATGCACACCTTTCAGGGGAACTGGCCGTATTCTACTTGGGTGATACTTAATTTTGTTCATGACTACTAGATTGTAAGCTCCCTGGGGGCCAGGATCTATGCCTTTTGAATTCTTGTTTTCCTAGCTTCTACCAGTGAGCCTTACCCAGAAGAAGGGTTTGTGTGCAAACTGTCTTGTCAAATTAATGAATGAGTAATTTTGTGAATGTTGCTCAGAGTTAAGTAATGGAAACATTCAGGGCAAGGATTTCTTTGCTTCTCTCCCCCTTCCCTCCCTCTGTGGCTCGCCTTGTGCTGCCGGATGCTGGTGCAAACACGGCGAATGTTGTGGTAAGGAAGAACTGAACTCATACCGCCGTTCCTGCCTTCCTGACGCCAACAGTTTAATGCGGACAACAGCTGTTAATTAAAGCCTCCCTACACGGTGAAAGTAAAATGATAACCCATTAGATAACCGTGATGAGGGCTTGAAAGAGAAATACATGCTTCTATGATAGTGTCAATCAAGTGATGACTGAGCTAAACAATCCGAAGGATCGGTGTTAACTGGGGGAACTGAAGAGGCTGACACAGTGAAGTACCTGCCTAAAGTGAGGCATCATGTGCCATGGTCCTGTGGCTGGAGAGAGCCAGACCTGAAAACTGAAAGAGATCAAATAGAGTCCAGGTACCAGGTAGGGGTTTCCCACGGTGACGGAAGCGAGTGATGGACCTTGTGAGCCATTTAAAGGATTTGAGTCCCTTGCAGCACAGGATGTCTTTGTGGTTGGGGATCTGAAGTACGATGCAAATTTCAGTAGTACACCCCAACTGACTGACGTCTAGTTTGAAAGCATACCTGATCACAGGAAGAGGTAGGATGGGGTAAGGGGGAGCATTTTCTTATACTTTAGTTAAAAAAGAATCTTCACTTGCCCCTTTGATATTTCACAGTAGCAGTGATTCATAAGCAGCTGTGTTTAGTGTCATGAAGACAGCTTGCTTTAAAAGGCAAAAAGGTTCTCACCTTGGGTGATAAACTGGGAAGCGTAGTTTGTTTTATTCACTGAAGTACCCTCAGTGCCTAGATCCAGTTGGTGCTTAAAAAATATTAAGAAGAAATTAAGACAAGTATTTGGTCCTCCTTTTTAAAACATGTTTAATTCAAAAAACAATATCTAAATAGTTGCATGTGTAATGTTATATTTAAAAAGAAAACACAGCTGCAGACTGCCCTTTAAAAATACTTTGAATTCATTGTGGATTTTTGTTGTGTTGTTTTTATCTTGCCTAAACAATTGTCCCTCCCTTATCCCCTTTGTAAACTAATGTTGCCAGTGACACACTTCTTATAATCATTGAAACTTGAAAAACTCAAAAGCTGTAGGGTAATATCTATACGTGGTGTTTATTCTGAAAAGCTAAGTTAGAATTTTCAGTATGAGGGACAATGCAGTATGTTTCAATCATTTGATCTAAACTGAAAATGCCTGCCTTACGTAATTATGATTTTTAAATCTACCTTGATTTTCTCAAAAGAAGGATGTTTACACAATATTTATACCACACAACATAGTAATAATTTTACTGTTTCCAACAGGCGAATGGGCAATGCAACAGATACCGTAAAACACATTCCTTTGTAATTTGTGGGACTTCCCTGGAGAGTCAAGGGGAGGGTTCCTGGTGGAAATTTTGAATCCCATTATTTAACCCCAACCCCACCAAGTAGATTCTTTCCCTATAGAGTTTGGGACTGTTTTATGGTGAATGGTAACCATCAGAATGAAAGTAATTCATAGTCATTACCCTTTTTTCTTAGACTTTCCTCCTGTATTTTTCAACGTGAAGTAGGATCTTGCTACAAAACAAGTAGTCCTAAGAAAGCTTTTGAATTTACCAGTGTAGAGAACACTGGCCCAGGAAGCAGCCATGCCTGTGGAAGGAGGGAAAACAGACATGGAGAGGATCGGCCTCTTCAGTGAGATGGAATATGTCACTGTCGGTGATAAATATGTGTCACACTTTAATCGTAAGTATATTTGGTTTTCTTGACATCCTAATGGTGGATATTTTCCATGAGAAATTTCAAATTTACTATTTAAGTTGAATGATATTTTTTAATTGCCCATGTTTTAAGCTGTTCTTAAGTTGAATAAACTTGGGAAATTTCAGTAGAGTTAAGAGAGAACTTAGTTTTATAAAAGCAGGAAGCTCATTTATAGGAAGGGATGCCCTACCTTCATATTCTCCCCATGAATAATTTTCCTTCTTTCCAAAGGTGTGTGGCAGTTTTCTCCCAGAATATTTAATTTTTAGCTTTTGTTTTCTTAGATGGGACACAGCGCTGTGCAAATGGCATTTCCATTGGCATTCGGAAGGGCCATCCATGATTACGTTCTTGAAAAATGAAACGCTAAATGAATAGCTGAGGGAATTTTAGAAGTCATAAATAATAAAAAGAAGTAAAGGAAATAAATGTTTTGAATATCTCAGTTAAATGATTTTTAAGTAACAATAAGAAAGCATACAGTGATAATGAAACATCTCCAAGATACATTACTAATAAAAAATCAAGGCACAGAATTAAAAGTAGAAAAAGGTATATATGAAAATACTCATTGGGACATGACTAAACATTTTCTGCAAAACAAAATTAGCATCATGATTGCTTGTGGGAGAGGAATTGCGTGGCTGAGGGTGGGAGGAAAATTTATTGTACAAATGCTTATACTACTGAATTTGGAATCATGTGAATCTGGTACTTTTTAAAAAATTGAAATAAAAAAAATCAGTGATATAAGTTCACATTCAAATAACCAGTTGATTTAAGGACTGTTAACACTTCCAGCAATTTTTCACATCACTGAAGGACTTCCCAAATTGAGCTCTCTGAGATCCAAATTATAAAAGAAGTTCTAAATATTTATAAAAATAGTCTTTTAAGCAGTTGTTGGACTACTTATATTTCATTGTATAAATGTACCACCATTTACTTATCTTTTTTATTGAGGGACGTTTGAATTGTTTCTTGGTTTTGATTATGAATGAAGCGGCTATGAACATTCCTGTTCATGTCTTTTGGTGCATGTAGGCACTCATGTTTCTTCAATATCTACCCGGGAGGGAAATTTCTTTAGAGTTTGAAACACCTTTCCTTTCAACCTACACATACATACACACACACAGATATACTAACTAACATCTCACAGCATTTCTAGTATACAGATGGGGAAAGACTGGATGAGATGAACTTTAAGGACTCCTCCAGCTCTAAAATTCAAAGTTTATAACCAGGACCTTAATATAATTATTAAAATATTTTAATACAAACCTACCTCTTTCATTTTCTTGCCATTATAGCTTTTAACACAGAGTTTTTAGAGAACATTTTGAAACAGTATTTCAGAGCTCAAAACCCTGGCCCAAATCACAATTTGAAACTTCTTATTTTTCAGTTCTTTCATTGCTATTGAGCTCAAAAATTTGATATTCCTAATTTATTTTTTAAAGGACCCTTTAATGAGGCTGCAAGCAAAAATAGACAGATACTACCTGGAGGATCCAAAGAAATGTCAAATCTCCAGGCAGGTTATTTTGACCCCCATTTTGTAAGGATTTTTGAAGGCGAAGGCTATGTAAATCTGAATCAAGTGAGAAGACGGCGTATGATGGAAGAAGCCAAAAAAAATCTAGGCAAAGCCTTCCTCCCTAGTAGTGGAGATAAAAAGCCGTAAGTGTTTGGGGAAAAGTCTTAAATACATCTCCTGCACCTTCTCTCCTCTAGCCTAAATTGTTTGTTTTTCCATAGGACTCACTTATGTGTGATTCATTTTTGAAGTGTGAGTCTTAAGTTTGTCTTAGGTGGAGATAGTTATATTGAACGATTTAGGTTGGCAGGTAATTTTAATAATTAGAATCTCATCACATAAATTTTTGATTATCTATGTCACTACTCTCTATCAGTTTGTATAACAAAAGCCAACTAAAGAATGAAAATTAATTTGTTCAAAAAACTGGTTAATAGTCAGATTAGGGAAAAAATTGCCTTGGGTCATCATATCTGTGCTCTTGACTACGTTTTCTGTTTTTGAAACTTTAAAAAAGTGTTAACGATGTTAAATTTTGACTATCACAGATCATTATTTAGTTATTATGAAGGTATATGCATGGGGCTTAATATTGTACTTGTGACATGGTCAGTGTGAAGGTTTATTTTTTCTTACCTTGAAATCATTAAATTAAAGCATATCGTTTGTTATATAGCTGAGTTTTATACTACTATGTTAATTCAGACTCAGTAACATTGACTCAGTTTAGAATTTATGAGATGAGGATTGGTTAAAGGCTAATTTTGTGCCTGTTTGTGGTATTTTCTTGAGATTAGTAAAGCCATAATCTTCTAAGTCAAAATAACTAAGTTTTTATTAAGATGGGGAATTTCTTTTCTGTTATTGTAGTTTGACCTTTGTCTGCCTTTTCACACTTTGCATAGGTTTAAATTACTTATTTTAATATCACTCATCCTTGGATTTAATTTTCTTCTTAGACATAAATTCAAACATGAATTTTTTTGGGACAGTACTCGATATCTTCTTCAGAAAATATATGGGTTTTACCCTTTAAATAACTTTTCTATTTTTCAGCCCCTCCTCCCACCTTGTTGAACTTTGACCTCTTGTGATAATAATTGGGATTTGCTACCTTGATACATTAGTTTATAATATGCTTACATTCATTTGTCAGCCAAGAAATAATAACAGTTTTATAATTAGATTAGTCTTCCTTTTTAAAGCTCACAGATATATGACAAACATGTGAAATTAGTGGAATTTAGAAAACCGTTTCCAAAAAGAGAGATTGGTGATATAAATAAGAAATCCTCATACTCTTACTTAATGCCAAATTATGGAAAATGTTTGGTAATTCTTTCTATAGTAATGCAATAAGCATAACACACACAAAAATAGCACACCAGCACCAAAATTCCATGAGACTCATTTTGCCATCAGCAGTGGAAACAAGACTTTTAAGTATATGTTTTCATAGTGTAGTTTCTGATGAGTGAGTGGTCAGAAGGAATTAGCCATTTATGAGCTCATTTGCCATAAAGTGCCTAGAACTTCTTCTAAAAACACAAAAGGGTCTATTTATTGTTATAATTAAGTGAATTAATTGGCAACTCCCTAGAGATTATCAAGTTTTGTTCATGAACATTTAAAATAAGCACCGAAAATTAAAAAATGATCTCATCTCAAAACTTGTGACTTTGAAAAAATGGGGGAAATCAGATTAAAAATTTAACAAAAAAAAATTTTTTCTTACGAAAATTAGGCAGGTCAACTCCATTGTATATATTTTGCTCCTTTTTCAATTATTTTTCAAATAAATTGCAGGAAAAGATATATAACACAAAATTTGCTGTTTTAGCCTCTTTTTTTTTCTTAAACTGTATTTAAGATGTGGATTAGGAAGCTACTATGGAACAATAGGTGGTCCAGTCTCATTCTTCAGTGCACAGTCCAAACCCAGAGAAAAATATGAGGCACCTGGAAAAAATTTATACACAAATCCAGGAAAGAAAGGAACTGGATATGGGTAAGGTATTTTTAATAACTTTCATATCATTTAATACTTTCATACCATCCATTAAAAAATAAATTTTAAAATTTCTTAACACTGAAGTCACCATTACTTATTTTCCTTCCATAGCTATGCAAATATTACCATTGGTAAACAATATTCACACTCTTCTGATTTCTATGATGCACCAAAATTAAATTATAAGGTAAAATAATCTATTTTAATTTTTTTTCAACCTTTCTCTTAGTTGACTTAGAAAATTCACTTGTAATCCAATTAGGGTTTGTTTGATCTATTTGTATTACTCAGGCAGTGGCAGACTGATGTTCATGAATTAGGATAATTTTACCCTTTTGGTATTAGATTTCCACATGTTGCTGTAGATCCTCTCAGCTACTCCCTGCTACAGTTACCTCCTTACCACATCTATCTTAACATCTCTCTAAACTAGCTGTGGGACTTCTCTTAACTTGGCCTGATCCATTGTATTCCATTTTGAGTAGAAGAGTCATATCCTAACCGTTAGACAGTTTCCCCCTACACCCGAATATCTTTCTTGTGCCTAAGAAGGCAGTGGAATACTGTTGGTGAGTGACTGGAATGCAGGAGTGATGGGGAGAAGGGAGAAAGTGGAGAGTAGACAATGTTAACACCTTGAGGAGACAGTGTGAAAGGACGGGGGAAAACTAATTATTTAATAGCAGAAAGAAAAGCTGATATATACTGGCATATGCCTCTTACACTCAACTTTACATAATATTTGACCTATAATTAAACATATTCCCTTATGTGGAGAATGCCTACATGTGAATGAATAGAGAAACCCTTATAAATTTTGGAACAATGTGAGTATAATTTAACAATATCAATATAGCTTAAAGAAAGCTGGTAGTAATGAAAAATCAAATTGGTTTGGACATTAAACAACAGAAATTAAATGACAAGCATTTTATTTTTGTTTCTGTTTTTTTTTTTGAGGCATGCAGTCTTCAACAGTTTTGTTGTGGTAACTTTAAGTGGCAGTGAGGTTGTGAGATGGAAGATAGTGGCCAATTTTACAGATTCCCCGAGTCCCTGAGAAATGCCAAACAGCAGGAAGGGTTTACTTTGAGCTAGAGACCAGTCTTTTTTCTGTATCATATTACCCAGATAGTTCATATGGATTTGTTCAGGTGATAAATAGATCTTATACTTTAAATAAATTTATATCCAAAATGAACAATCATAGTTATGCTTGCTCATAAGCATACCTTTTGTATCATAAAACAAAACATAACAAAGGAATGTTTAAAAAAAGCAAACCCAGCAGTAAATATTTAAAAATGTACAGATATTAAAATTTAAAAGATTTGATTCTATGTTACTCCTGATTTGAGTAAGTTATACTATATAATTCCAAACTCTTTAATTTACAGAAAGAGAATGAAAAACACCATCGTTTACTTAAAGGGACACCTTTCAAGTTAAATCTTTGCCCAAGGGAATATTTTGATGCGAATCCTTACTTGTCTGAGAAATCTCTACCACCAATTAGAAAAGCAGAGAAGAAAGAATTACTTACACTCCCTTTTAAGCCCTCCTCTCCTGGTAAAAAGGTAAGTTAAAAATTTTAGATTGAAAAAATATTAAGCGTTATAAAGAAATGTTGCTTGTTGCTGGCAAATTAATGCCCTTCTAAATAATAAAATTTTGTCTGTATTCACTCCAAGAATCGTGAAACCCATTTTTACAAAATTAGGAAAAGTCACAAAGCTTGGCTAGTATAGGGGATAATGAAGCTCTCGTAATGAAGGTCATTACCAATCACGTCAAATGTATTTTAATTCACAATGGATTTTCTAAGTGCCTCTCTAGATCTTAGGTATAGTTTTTCTCAAAACCATAAAAAGCCAGACCATCTTTTAGTTTTTGAAATGGTGGTTACAAGGAATTATCTCCCTCTGCTGAAGTTTATAACAAGTGTGAATAAAAATAAAAATGCTTCATATAGTTCATATACCTTAGTTTATACTTTGTTTTTCTTCTGTTAATTGCCTGTTCAATTTCCCTGTGGATTTTCTACTAGGATGTTTGTCTTTTTTTCACATTGATTTATAGGCTCTTTTCATATATTAAGGATTTTTGTTCGTTTGTCATTTGTGTTGAAAATAATTTTTCTACCCTGTTGAATATTTAACTTTGGTTATAGTATTATGTGCTGTTCAGAAATTTAATAATTTGTTGTAGTCAAATTTATCAATCCTCTGTGCTGAGTTTCATGTTATTCTCAGAATGACTTCCTTACCACCAATGTGAGAAAAAGAGCTTTTTGATTTCTTCTATTATTAATCTTATTCCTTGAGTTTAAACCTTTATATGAACTATATTTTGATGTGTATAGTGACATCTTTATCTCTTTCAAAATCCAGTTTCTAGGGCAGGAAGAAACTTTGTAGGGAGGACGTGTTCTGTGTTTTGATTGTAGTCATGGCTTCACAGTTGTATACATCTGTCAGGACTCACAGAATTGTAAACTTTAAATGGATGCAGTTTATTGTACATGAATTAGACTTCAATAACACTGATTTTTTTAAGAAAACCAGTTCTTTCTAATCTCACTGATAGAATAATTTTAACACCTCTGCTTTGAAATGCCACCCTTATCAAGTCAACATTCCCATTTTGGAGAGTTTTTTTCTGAATTTGCATTCTATTTGGCTGATGTTTGTTTATGTCTACCAGTGCCAAGTTACTCTAATTACTTTTACATTTTATTTTTGGGTGGTCTAGTATCTTCTTGTTACTCTTTAAAAAAGTTGTACTTGCTGGCCTCTCATATTTCGTCTCTAGAACTTGGAAGTTATTTTGTAAAGTTCTGGGGGAAAAAAGACCTTTGGTATTATGCTATAAAGTTAAATCTTTAGAATTTTGGGTGTATTAACATATTTATAATTCGAATCTTCTGCTTGAGAAATACATTACTTACAACAACCTTTATTTCCCTTGTAGAATTAAAATTTTTACTTGACACAGGTTTATATATCTTATATTGATCCCTCTTTATTTTAAGTTTCTGGTTGACAGGTTTTTATTTTTTCAACTATTTTTCCCTCATATTGTCTATAAAAGCGTTTGATTTTTTAAAAATAATTGTTTACTTCATAAAATTTTCTTATATTCTGATGGGCATTCTGTTGATTCTCTTTGGATTTTCAGACATATATTATCTGCAAATGATTTTGCTCCCTCCTTTCCAATATTTACATCTCTGATGTCATGCTTACGTCCAATTGCTTAAGCCAGCAATAGTGGTTGTCCTTGTCTTAATCATAATTTTAATGGGGAGATCTCTAGCGTTTCATTTTTAGAGATGCCAAAACCAGGAATAACTCAGGAATGTATATAGAATTATATTGAATATTTTGGAGTAATCTATTTAGATCAATTTTTTTTTCTGCCTTTGACAGAAGTGATAACAATAATAGATTGCTTGGAATGAATTCCAGTTGGCCATGTTATATTAATCTAAGTGTAATACTGTTTTATTTGTTAATGTTTTGTTAAGTATTTTTACATCAATAGTTTTAAGTGTGACTGGTCTGTATTAAAAAAATTTTTTTTGTATTCTATTGTGGTATAAGTAGATACTAGCATCTTAAAATAAGCAGGAATATTTCCTTTGTTTTCTATGTTCTGTAACAGTTTAAATAGGCCCAGAAATATCTGTTCCTTTAACTCTTGAAACAATTCTCATAGGAAATACTTTGGACTTAATTTCTTACATAGTACCTATCTATTTTCTATAGGTTTTCCATCTCTTTTTGAGTCAATTTTGACACTTCTGTTTTTTGGAAAATCATTTCTTTCAGGTTTCCAGATTTATTAACATAGAGGTTTATAAAAAATTTTTATGCATTTTGATATTCTATGTATGTATGGGTCTCCTCTACTTTCTCTTTCATAATTATAGTGTAAATTTATCTACTTAATTTAACTTTTAAGGCATCAGTCGGTGGGTTAGTTTATTTACCATATATATTTTTCTATTTTTAATTCATCCATTTTGCTTTCACATTTATTAATTTATTTTTCTTAAGTTTCCTTATGATGTGTAGCCAAAATATAATCAAAGTAATCCATGTTTCCTCAGTTTGTAAAACTTGAAAAATTGCAGGCATGTCTTTCAAATGTGTATTTGGCTTAGGTACTATAAAAGAAGATTCCTAATTAAATGGGTTCTTATGATCCATAGAGTTTTCATGGTAACTGTATGTAGACGTAAAGATTAAAATCATGGTAAATCAGTTCAGAAAGTCAAAGCAAATATTTGTCCGCTGTGTGTATAGGTAAAAAAATATTTTGATTGACTTATTTTAAAAGACTAAGAAAAATGTAAAGTAGATCATACTGTCCTCTCACCTTCTATTTCTATGTGGCATTCCTTTTTTCTTTTTTAATGTATCTTCTCCATCATTGACTCACACTCAGTAAACTCATGTTATGCCAGGCTCTCTGTTGGACAAACTTTACCTTTGCCCTTTCTCCCATCTTCTTCCGAGCCCTAACTCCTTTGTCCATCAAAATATATGTGACCTGGGTTTCATTCCTTCCATAATAGGCCCACCCACTACCTAGATGACAGCCTGACCTGATGAACTTTCACTGAAATATTAATTCTTGGCAACAGTTGAGAATATTACCTTCCTATAAACATTTGCATTTTAATAGAGAACTTTTGGAATTATAGTGTCTTAATGTCATAAAATTGGGGTAGGGAGACTGTTTGCTGGTACTTGAATTCAATAGTATGGACACCTTTCTTTAAACATAAAACCAACTCCAAAGACACTAAACAAATACATGTAAACATTTTCAAAATCTAATTTTGTTAGAAGACATTTAAAGTTGTCTCATTTTTATTTGTAGGCTGGTGGAATGAAGGCAGGAACATTTGAACCTTACCCTTCACATTCTGCTGACCCTTACGTGGTTAAATTGGCAAAGCAGGTTTCCAGCAAAAGTGTTAAGATTTTCCATCCACCAAATGGACCAAAAAGCAGACCAATTAAAAGTATAATGACTTTGCATGTCGAAAGGTAGTGATATGTTACATTTAGCCCATAAACCAAGAAATGTTGTTTTCACCTTTTAAATTTCTTTACAGTAATATATTTTATTTATATATTCTTTAAAAAATGACAAATCTGGGTGAATTTGGAAATCTCAGCTCCTTCCATATACCTGTTCTTCCTTGTAGAAGTTCTTTCCTGTCTTCTGAAATTCCCAATTGAAAAAGCTTAATTTTTCTGTAACAAATTATTCCATCCATAATTTTTCAAGCAAATCTGTAGCACCTTACTATGAGTTATTTGAGGCTCTTTGGATATTTATAGTTCAATCAGCAGTACATGTTCACATTGTCTGTTTCTCAAAGGGAGTTTTTGACCCTTGTTAAATTACTACCTCTGTGTGAGCTTCATGCTCTCAGTAATTGTGAGGACTCTTAATGACACTTAAGATTTCTGTCCTTAACTTTGAAGTGATCTTCCATGAAAGCAAGAAATATTTTGGTTAATTAAAAATGGTATTAATATCACTTTATAATACTTTGAGGAAAAGCATATTATTAAAATATCTTAAAACTTCAACTTTACCCAGGTTTTGAGCACTCTCAAAACTTAAAAAAGTTCCCAGAATATAAATTGGAAAAGAACAATCCATCATTTTTTGTGTTTGTGAAAGATCATAAATAAGTGGAAGAATTAATTTGATTACTTTTATATTTATACATTGAAGATGTTTATAATGCCAGTGTAACTAATTTATATATTTCAAACAACAATACAATGGCTTAGGTAAAGGACACCAAATTCACACTTTTCTTCTATAAAAATAGGGCCCTTTATCACTTGTGGACAGTGATAATGCTAACATTATTGTATCACAAAAATAAGACTGTCCTTCGTTATTTATACAATTTAACTGTTGTCTACTAGGTTACTGTTTTGTGTGGGCTAGTTGGTAGAGTATTGAACTTGGAAACAGGAAGATACGGAGGTTTTTTCCAAGTCCTTTGACCTTTATCCTTTAGCAAGCCACCTATCAGTACTCTGCCCAACGTTAGCTATACAATAGAACAGACAGTAAAATCACAATCTTCCTCAGCACACTCACCCTCCAATTAGATGGAATGGTTCTAGGTTTTCTGTGTTCTTTTCTATCCACATAACAGACCTGAGAAAATTCCATGATGCCCTAGCATGTATGCTTGGAGCAGAGAAAAAAGAGGATTGGATTGCTCTTTTGGAAAATCAGAGTATCTTCTGTTTAGTAATTTTGAGTTTACTGAACTCTCTTTTTACATTATCATAAATATTACCCTAACTTAAGTTTTAGCTTCTTTTACCCTAATTTTAAAACTAATAAATCCTAGATGCTACTATTTAAAATTGGTTCCATAGACCAATATTTTCTTTTCAAATTATGTTTTTTAAATACATCTGACTTATGTAAAGTAGAGCTTTTCAATTTGGTGAGAAAATTTGGTTTTAATTTGCTTTTCATTGTAAAACGTTCTTATAAGAATATACTGATATATGACACACACCTATAAAATTAAATATGCATTTATTTTCCAATTTTAGGACACTAAATATGAAGAATTACAAGGCTGCTTCAGTACAGTCCTATTAACATCTGGAAGACAAGTAGCTTTCTAGATCCTGACTACCAGTAATTCATTATCAAGTGCTAATTATTTGAAAAAATATAAGATACTGTGGAACAGATAGCTAACTCAAGCATTAAAAGAAATTTAAGCCTGAAACTAATTCTCTTTCTTGTTTTAGTACTTTTACTTAATAAACAGTATTTGTTAGTAATTTAATGTATGATTGCTGATCTTTGTTTAGATCTGCGCTTCTGAGGAGATACAATGTTCAGAAATTTTATGAAATCTTAGATGGTAAAAATGAATCAGTAGCTAATGCCTATATAGCGCTTACTGTATGCCAGGTACCATTTCATTTGCTTTACATATCAATATGTTTGTACTTACTAATCACTTAATCTTCATTTAAGAAATGAAGAAGTGGAGGCAGAGAAAGGTTAAGTAACCTGTTCAAGGCAGCATAACCAACAGTGGCAAAGGCAGGCACCCTGGCTTCTTTTAACCCCCTCCTAACTGCATTTCCCAGGCCACTTCCCCAATTTTCCACAGAAATAATGATTCTTCTTATTGCCTCAGGTTACATTATACACTCTGCAGCCTTTATCAAAACTGGAGAGCAGAGCAAGGCAGAAGTTACCTGTGGGAAATCAGGAGTACAGCACAAGTTAGATGACAAGAAGAAAGACTAGGAAAACTGTTCCCAGTTTATTCCTCCCTACACCTTATTGGGGCACAGGTCACAAGTCTATGGGAGATGCTAGAGACACGTGTATTACTCCCAAATTTATATGTATTTTTAAAAATCATAAAGCAATATGGAATCACTGAACTTCATTTAGGAAGATACTTAAATGTCATTTTGTCTAAACTCTTCACAACATTCCTACTAAGAGAATATCCAACCTATGCCTGGCACTCTCTAATATGATGGCAACTCCTTCATTCAGCATTCATCTAACAAATACTGAGTGCCTATTGCGTTCCAGGCATTGGGATGCAGCAGTAAACAAAATGACAACATCTCTGCCTTCCATTTGTTCAGGAAGACAGATAACATCAGGTAAAGTTAAGTGCTCTGAGGATAATAATGCAGGGTAAGGACATGGAGATGATTTGGGGGGTGTTTGAACTATTTTTTAAAGGGTGGTTAGGGAAAGACTCTGAGGACATGGCATTTGAGAAAGACCTACACAAAATGAGTGACAGAGTAGTTGTGGACTTTGGGTTTTGAGTGTTATGAGAAACCATTGAAAGTTTTGGGGACAGGCATGCCATATTAATGATTTTACATTCAACAATATCCCTTTGGTTGGTATTTGGAGTATTAGCCATAGCTGGGGAAGATGCAAGCAGGAGGCCCACTGTAACAGAAAAGATTTGGTGGTGGCTTAGACCAGACTGACAGCAGTGATCTTTAGATGGCATTCTTCATGTTGCCTGTAGGGACTGGTGGGTGGAGAACTAATACAAAAGTGCCGATCCTCTGGCTATTGCTTTACTGTGAATAACAAATTTGTCTTTTATCTCTGACCCAGGAGCCTCATGTCTTCTACTAAAACTCATGAAACTATGGGCTAACATATTAGCTTACAAGTTGGGTAAATCTTAGACTGTTCATAGTTTTTGACAGTATAAAAATATATACCTAATTCTGATTTCTATTAAAAAAAACCTAGTCTACCCTAACTGATTATAAGATAATTATATGTAAAAGTGAATTTTAAATTACTTTGTGGGAAAAAAAAGTAGTTGGACAGAGGATTTTGAAACATCGATTTTAGAAATTTATTTACGTATCTTAGATGGAAGTGATTGATGCAGTTTACTTGGAATTCCTGGAAAAAAAGAAGAATTTTTTTAAGGTGGTTGTGCTAAATACTTTACAAAAATAAGAATAATTTAAAAAATCCCTGCTCTCTGCCAAAGTTGCTTTGTGCATATACAATGTATAGAAGTAATATAAATGATACCTTGAATTTTATTAAAAGAGCAAAATTCCTAAATAATTCTACTGTGTAATAAATCAGTTACAAATCTTACAAATTATATTCATCCTAAGAGTTCCCTTATTATTAATACTCTGGCAAGTGCCCAAGAGGCTAAGAGGATCTTAATCATATCTCTACTAATCTACCACAATATACATACCTTTAAAATCAGGAGCTAAAGACTTACTTCCAGGACTAGAGCTGCCTTCATAAGTACCATAGTTGTCAAAACGGAATTTCTCTCTTCTTGAAATATAACCCATTTTTGATAGGTCACTCTGCTGACTACAGAGTTTTTCACTTAGATTTAAATATTCTCTTTGAAGATTCCGCATCTCAAATTCCAAAGTATCTCTTTCATTTTCTATACTTCTTACATAGTTTTCTAAAAGTATTTTGTCTTCCTCAAGTCTGCTGATGCTGTTTCCAAGTTTTCTATTTTCCTGACTATGTTGTTTTAGTTCTTCTTTGAGCATCTGATTATCTGTTTTAATTTCCATTACCATTTTTGATAACATTTCACACTTGTTGCCCATTTCTGACAAACTATTCTTATAAATACTTGCTTCTGATTTTGCATTTTTTATTTCTTTCCGAAAATTCTCTTCTGCAGTAGACTGGTATGTTTGCATATTCTCAATTTCCCTTTCCATCATTTGTCTAGCAGCAGTAGATTCTTGTAATGTTGTTTCAAGACTAAGTTTTTCATTTTTAACTGTCTCTATTATTTGAAGAAGTGTCTCTTGTTCAGTTTTTGCCAGTCTTCCTTTCTCTTTTAGCTGCATTATCTCTAGCTGGTTTTCTTTTAGTTCATTTTTAAGTGAGTTTTTTTCCTTTAGAAGCAGGTGTGTTTTTTTCTCTAGCATTTCCTTTTCATCTTGCATCAACAGAATATTTGCTTTCATTGATTCCATTTCCCTACTCATTCGATTATTTTCATTATTGACAATAGCCATATCATTTTGAATTTTGTGTTCCTTATTTTTTAGTTGGTCTAATGTTTCCATCATTTGTTGCTTCTCCAAAGAAAGTTGACTGGTTTTTTCCTCTAGACTTTTGTTTTGTCCTTGGAGAACATCATATTTACTAATTATTTTTTTCAATTCTTTTAGACATTCTTTGCCATCTTCTTCTGTTTTAATTAACTTGGACTGAATAGTATTCTTTTCTGCAAGCATATTCTTAAGTTGCTTTTCATATGTTTCAGTTTTCTGTATCAGAGATTGTGTGGTAGAGACAAGAGGGTTTATTTTGGTCTTAAGCATTAGATTTTCATTCTCCAGCTCTGTTACTTTTCTCTGTGTCTGCATAGATTCTTTCAGGTAATTCTGTAAATACTGAATTTTTGCAACACCCTGCTCAGTAACAGAATTGACTTTGGCTATTTTCTGATTTTCAAATATTATTGAACCTTCTTTCACTACAAAAGATTGCTTTTCTCTATTTTTTGTTTCATATTTTATTGGATCAAAGATTGACAGTGCATGCCTTGGGACTCTAGAATGGAATCGTAAATCTGTAATATTCTTGCTAGTGACAGGAATTTCCGTATTGTTTTTCTCATTCTTCTTTCCCCTGTGAATTTCACTCCTAGACAATTTTTTGCACTTCCTACAAAAATTCAGGTGCAATTTTGACACTTTCCCTGAGTGGGAGTAATTTGTTTACTAATTCCTCCAATTCTAAAATTTTCTTGGATTTTATATCTTCATTTAAGTTACTTTCTATATTGTCCTCCCTAAGAAAGTTAATTTTTTTCTTGTGAGTGGGATACAGGTCAGTCTTACCATTACTTGGAACATTTGTATTGGTTTTTAAAGTTTTAATTTCATTTGTAAGTGTCAATTCCCTATCGTGTGACTTTTGAAGTTCTTCCTTCATTTGTTTGATAGAATGACAAATATCATCGAAATTTTCACAAAGTCCATGTTTGAGAAGAGGCACAGTAATTTTAGATTTGTCCAGGATTACTGTATCAGGTTGAGACATAACATTATGAGGTATATTAGGTAGAAAACTATGAAGGTTATTGTAATTCTTCAACATATCAGAATTTTCTAAAGGGTTCATACTTATGTTTGAAGTGGAATTATCTGTTGAAGTTCCCAGAGTTAATATGTCCTTGAAATTTATCTGTGATGGAATATTTGTACCTTGAGAGAAACTATTAACACTATCACTACTGAATTTTTCTTCTGTTGAATGAAGAGTCCTAGAATACTCAAAACGATGACTTTTCTCCATAGAAAGGATTTCTTCTTGATTCTCTATAGGCTAATATTAATAAAAAGCACACTATAAATGTATTGGCATTTGCTACATGGTTATCCAATTAAGATAATATTTTGTGGAAGATTTATTTTTACAGTCCAAATGGACATTTTATCCATTTCTACAGTAAAGAAGCCTAACAAGTATGATTCATTTTATCCAGAAAACCTAACAGGTATTTTGAGATCTGTAACTCTGGTCTTCACAGTTTGCTTAGAAATTGCACTTATTGCCTTAGGGGGTGAGATACATGGTCCAACCTCTCAATTTCTAGAAATTTAGCATCCCTTAAGAGACCATCATAGATATGTGGGGAAGATAGAAGCAATAGGTCAGATGGGCCAGTTTAAGGAAAATGAATTTCTACTTGTGGGAAATTCCCAAGTCTGGGCTGTCAACCTTAGCTTGTATTCCTAGTTTCAGATGATTCTAGGGTTCTGACTACCCTGGAACTGTGGGTTCTAATCGGTATAGAGTGACTCTGGTTTGGACCTGTTCTAGGGAGTTCACCCCAAGCCTAGGTCAATACTAAAAGTAGAAAAACTCATGAAGTGGACAGATAGGGTTTAAAAACTGCCTTATATTTCAATTTACTTGGAAATCTTTAGGTATCTTAAATAACCAATTGACCCTCACAAACTCCCCTAAGACAAATGGGAAAGTGGCAGAAGAATACAGGTAAACTCACGTTTTTCAGGGTTTTCAGGACAGGAATTTCCTTATTTTCATCTCTGTTAGTCCCTTCATCCTGTGAGGAAGGCGAGAATATAAAGGTGAAGATAAACTGGTTATAGTAACTTTTTTGAAGTACTAAATACAAAAAGATTTTGTATACAATAACATACCAAAGCCTTCTCAAGGTGTGTGTTGAATACTAGATTTTTTTCTGAACTAAATTGTGGGTTTTCTACTTCAATAATGCTTTTGTTCAATATTTCACTGATTTCAGACTGCACCTTTAAAAGATAAATGAGAATGTTAGAATTTGATTTCAGATTTATAAACTTATGAATATACAGGAATAATAGGTATTGTAATTGAAAGATACCTTTAAATTTCCTCCACATAAACATTCTTTCCTATCATATAGAATATAAATTAATTATAATCTCTACCATTAGAAGAATCGTGAAGAAGAGTGTGCCTTTATTATATGTTTATAAAATCAGAAACAATTTAGTAAAACAATACACCTTTATGACCTATATTCAAATAATTTTGGATATTTGATTTTTACATTGTTGAATAAATCAGAGACCTTTGATTTCTGTCATCAGAATGGAATCTATTCTGTCACCCTCAGGAAGATTTTATCTTCTTTCCTATTTCCCTGCAGTTGCTTTTACTACAAGAATATTAGGATGAAGCTTATGTCAGAGGCTTTAGGGAATAAGTGCTGTGTGAGCCACTACCAACATCCATACCCTATCCGTCTGTTAACACTACCTTTTATTTCTTCTGAATAAAGTCCTTGTGCCTTTGGTGATACACTGATCCCATTTCTAGCTCCAGCAGTGGGCATGTGACTGAGAGCTAATCAGTCAGAACATTGCCCACTTTGAACAGTGACTGATTCAAGGATTGCATATGACCCAATCTGGGGTACCTAGAATCAGGCTGAGAAGCTTAGTATAAACTATTAGGAGAGAAAAGCATGGTCTCTTCTTTGCTGACTGTAATATTGAAGGATTAAGGGCTGGAGCTTCTAGCAGCCCTACATGGAGGCTGAGAATCCATTATTGTGGGAAGCAGAACCAAGGGCAGCGAAGGCTGGTTCCTGATGACGTAAGTCCTGATCATCTGGATTAAGCCATCCCCAAATGACTTACCCCTACAATTTTCAGTTACCTGAGCTAATAAAGTGCACTTTTTCCAAAAGTCAGTTTGAGTTAGATTTTATATCACTTACAATGAAAGTCCCTATTTTCAGACTATATATAGGCAGTACTTTAAACAAACATGTTTTAAAAAAATCAGTGAGTGCTATTTCTTTTTGGCTCATATGTAAATACAACTATAACAGTGTGGTTTCCTCCAAACAAACTTGAGCCTGGGATATGTTCTGGCTTCCATTGCATTATATCAACTAATCAGTTGGCTAGTGATTATCCACTTAGAAATGTGGGATGGAAAGTTTGGGTATTTTCTATATAGAGATTAAAAGGAGCATACCATGCTGACATTCTGCAAAGTCTGTATTCGGAGAGCCTGAAATGATTCCAGTTGATGCTGAAGGGCCTTTAATAAAATTAAACAGGGCATAAAACTGATTATTTTTAGGTGGGTGAACATATACTTGAATTGTCATGATTTTTTGTTTATAACCCCACAGGTTGCCTATTACCAGAAGGGATCACATGAGGGTCAGGTGACTTACATTATTAGTCATTCTTGCTAACCCTCCAGTGCATTTTCATGAAGATTTTTGTGGAAAACCCTTATGCATTTAGGAGGCATTTATTCTGAAGATCAGCCTTTACACAGTTTTTGGAGAAAACAAAATTGAGATGTACTCACTTTCAATGCTGATTGTGGTTGGATTTGATTTTCTGATTCTGATGTGTAGCCATGTTCTAAAAAGCAAAATTGAAAACCATGTAATTTAATTCTTAAGTTTTATTTTTAAACAACTGTAATAGAAGGCAGTCTCTTAACTTTCTTGGAAAGTGAGACAGATAATGAGAATTTTGATTTTCACCTTAGGAAGAACCCAATGCTAGTCACATAATAAGTCATAGATAATATTGGGTTATTTGAAACATCCTCCCCATTCAATGTCCTATGATCCACAAATACTTACTGTAAAGAGTACCTTCTTTTGGAAAAAATATGTATCTTTTCATTGCCCAAAATACCCAACAGTTCCTATTTGGCATTCAGAGAGACAGTATATAATGGCCTGGTAGTTAAGGCCTGGACTTCGGGGCCACCCTGCTGAATACTGGCTCTGTCATTTGCTACCTGTGTAATCTTGGGAACTTCGCCTTTCTGTGCCCTCAGTTTCCTCTCTTGCAAAATGGTGATAATGGTAGTGTCTTCTTCATAGGATTGTGTGAGGCCTAAATGATCTGATATAGTTAGGTGCTTAGAAGACTATCTGGCGCAACGTGAATGTGCCGTTAGCCATTATTAGTACTGTAATAATAGTTACTGGAAGTACACCCCTTGGACCAGTGAGGTAGGCAAGGTACCCGTTGCTGTGTTAACAAAGCTGAAGCATCACTGGCATTGGAGCCTTGGTCTTGGAGGTTTTACCTGTTTCACTGTCACCACTCCCCTTTACTCCCTCAGAGGAATTTAGTATCTTGGACGCTGAAAGGAGAACACAGTCAATTTCATCTTGCTCGTGGTGCTTTTCTGTAACAGAACCGTAGGTGGCTTTTGGTTTTGCTGGGAGTAGAGGCGAGGCGTGCGGATTCGCCTCAAGCGGCCACGGGAGGGCGCGCTGGGACCACGCAGCGGCGCCGGGATCGGGAGGTACCGAGGCTGGAGCCACAGCCGGGCATGGGGCGGTGGCGCTGCTTTTCTCCTCGGGGTGGGTCGGGGTGTGTGGCTAGTGAAGAAGATCCCGCGCTCCAGACTGACCCGTCTTGGGGTGAAAGGGCCGGGGCGGGGAAGGCAGCGGGGCTCTCCGTTACCCGTCCAGTTCCCGCAGCAACCCCTCAAGGGACAGGCCCCCGGGCGGCTCTTACCCGGGCTCATCCGCCTTCCCCCATGCATTCCGCTCCGGGGCTTCGCACCGGGGCAGCTCGTTGCCTGGTAACGGGGAGGCCTGGACAACACGAGCGAGGCAAGGTGGGCTCTTGGGTGGGGCGGACGGGGAGGAAGATCGCGTTGGGTGGGGTCCGGGGCCCTGGGTCCCGGACGCTCGTTCACAGAGCCACGCGTGGAAGGTCCTGCTCTTTGCTGTGCCCTCCCAAACCTGGGGACAGTCTCACTAGGGTGCCCCCGTGTTGTGCAGAACTTGATCTTGACCATAGTCTGAAAACAGCACCAGTTGGACCAAAACTGTGTGGAGAAAGGGGAGTGTTTGGAGACGTAGAAACCTAGGAACTTTTTCCCTTTTTCTAATCACTGTTTCATTGTTTCATTCCTCTTATTTCACCCATCAGAGTAGTTTTAGCTTTTGGGGATTTGAAAGGCCCCAAACAATGTTGTGAAAGGACTTTTGTTTGCTGTGGTTAACAGAAGACCCTATTTCCGATAATAAACTTAAAATGATAATGTATTAAAATCACATTAAAGCTGGCCCAGAGGCACTGGTCTTCATTTGCAAAAGCATGCTAATTTCCTGAGTACCTGGGCAAGCCACTTGTAAAAGATGGGTTTTTGTCGTGGAAGCTGGAGCTCATTCAACAAAGGACTGGTTGACAGGGCCACAGTCAATCCTTGTGCAGATCAGAAAAAGGTTCTCTTTAGCTAACAGTTTTAAATGATCATATTTATTTTGCAGTAACAACTATAGAATATAAAATAATTGAAAACTCAAATCTTAAGTCACAATAAGGAATTTAAAGGCATACTTACATAAATAATTATATAATAATTATATGGCTTGCTTTCATGGAAATGAAACTATGATAGTCTCAATTTTTTTTTTTTTTACTTAACTGTTTCCTATAGAAATGGTCTCCAGAAGACCATTTCTTGTTGCATTGTTAGACAATTTCAATAAACCGTGTCCCTTAGAACTTAGGTTCTCCATTGATGATTGATATCCACAAAGTTAACTTTCTCCAGAGAGCTCCAGAAGTTTTCAGCAATGTGTTAAATTACTACTCTATGTAAATGTCAGTATTTTGAAGGGAGGCTGATAAATGAAAAGCTAAGTACATTATGGTAAGTTAATTTCTATACTAATGACATTTTCAAAACAAATAAATAATTACTATAGTGAAATAAAGTGATTATTTATCTACCAGAACACAGATTAGAATTAGATACAAGGGATAGCATAACGAACTTCCCTTGGGACTTCTACAACTGGGAGAACCCCATTCTCCTGACGCAAGAGCAGGACAGTTCTGGTCATCTGAGACGCTGGGGGGCTCTGTGGCTGCTACTGATTGCGCAGCATCTTTTACTGGACTCAGATTTTCAATGCAGAGAAATGAAGGGTCACTGATGTTCTGAAAAATCTGGAAAAAATATTCATTACACTTGCCCAGGCCTGCCTGTTCCTGTCCCTGCTCCTCCTGGGACCTGAAATACTTCCTTATCCCATTTGAAATTGGTGAACAAAGTTTAGAATCCAAACATTCTGGGGGGATGTTAAATTTCGTCCTTTCTTGGTGTAATTATTGCCCCCACCTCCAATTATGCTTTTGGAGAAATATTCTTGTTTATACTTACTGGTATTGATTGTGGAATTTTATGAAAAAAGTTATTTTCCAGGTTTGCATGTGAAGGTTTATAGGAACTTTTCAAAGACTAACTGATCAGTGCTAGGCTTTCTGATTCTGAAGCCCTTGCTTCCCAAATCAGTTTATTTTAATGTGTTCAGGACACTATTTCATCTAAATTTGAAAGTTTAGAGAAGGTATACATATAATTAATACTAGAGGTAAAAGTTCCTATTTCCTGATATGGTAGCACACCTGTACTTTCTCATTGTGTGAGACACCGTCTTTTTAATTTGGTCTCATCTTGCTTAGGTAGTGGGCTCTAGTAGGTATTCTGTCAGGAGATATGCTTTCTCTGGGCACACAAGTCAGTCAGCCCAGCAACTGTCCTGAAAATGTCTATTTTTTTTATTGTGAAGTTCATTGGTAAAGGATAGAACTAAAATCTGTACTGTCAGTTAAAAAATATCTGTGAGCCACAGTATTTCAAAATCTTCAAATAGCTCCTTTTAGAGAATCACTTCCACCTGTTGACTAACAGCTGCAGATTCAAGAATTTGGAACAAACTCAAGAGCACTGCACAAAAACAAGCTGGCAAATCTATTCTTAGCCATTTATTGCCAGGCTAAAATACTTGCGGATTTTTAGCTTCAGGTCTTTTTTTAAACCTGAGGTAGCAAGGCTATCATTAATCGTAGCTGAGATCTAGAGTAGTGAGAAAAAGTGATCAGGCTGCTCCTAGGATACAACAAATTTGGGCAGTTGTCCTAAGGCCAGTGTTTTGGTCAGAGAGGGGACCTGCATGCTGGAGACTTAGGAAGTCTTGGGGGGACAGTGGGCCTTTGACACTCAAAGGCTTGATCTGAGTGTAAACACCTCTGCATTCAGCCTTCTTTAAGTTTCCTTTAGTGTTAATTTGAACCTGATTTCATCTGTATAGGAGAGTGAACCCCCCAACTTCAGGACAGCCGCTGGTGTTGACTCTTAGGAGATTGATTGCTACCTTAAAGAGGACTCATCAACAGTAGTAAGGAGGGGGTACTGAGAACATGAATTAGTCTAACTCTAAAAAGGGATGTGCTAAAGGGAAAAGGGATAGACAGAGAAATACTGAGGCACTTGAGAAGGAATAGGTGTTAGGAAAACAGATTATTTTAGGATGGTGTAGAGTACCTGAGCTTGCTTGCAGGCTGAGAAGAAAGACTCAGTGACTAAGTGGGAAAAATAAGTTGGAAAGAGAACTGGAGGAATAAAGGAATGGGCATGATTTGAAGCAAGAACCTGAGGTCTGCACATGTGAAGGTTTGGCCGTCCTGTAGAGGTGATACAGAGCCTTCCTCCCTCTGACAGAGGCCAAAGGAATGGGGCATTGGGCCCTTTCTTAGGTCAGGCTAGCGCTCTGTGCAATTTACTGAGGGTGAGGAGGTGTTCAAGGGTTTGAGTGAATGTCGTAGTCTCTATAGCCCCTCCTAAACTGAGGAGTCTTAAGTTCAGCTCACAGAGTATGACTCCCCTTTGTCCTGATGCTACCTTGCTTTCTGGTTTTTAGACCTTAAAGGAGCCGCACTGAGTCAGGCTGCTTGGTCACACATGAATAATCATAGTGTGTTTCCCTTGCTATATAAAGTACTGCTAATGTGTACTTTGCACAGAGCAAATTCAGTAATAAATCCATATTTCTTGCTTGACTTCAACTGTGAGCTATGACATGAGTCAGAGGTGGTGTCCGTGACCGTGGAACAGAATGAAACTTCTGAAGTGAACCAAGAGCCTAGCCACATTGACAGCATGCCCTCACTATGGAATCGCCAGCCAGTTAACACTGATAGACAATGTCAAGTCCAGATCAATGACTGTGTAAGCTGGGAGACGTCTCAGAATCATCCAGCCCAGCCCCTCTGCTCTGCAGATTAAGAAGTGGAGGCCCAGGGGCAGAGCTGCGATTCGAATACAAATCCTTATCCAGAGCTCTTTCACAACAGTCTTCTTACTGTCTATTACTTAATTAAACTGTTATTTAATATTTTAATTTTGCACACTACTTTTCCTAGCACTCAAGGAAAAGGGTGATTTTTATTATAAAGAGAACAAACAAGGACTGTAAGTTAACACTGATATAAATAAATACAATAGAGAGGAAGAACTACAATGTATTAAGAATTCATAGGTTTAAAGATTTCCAGAACATGTAGTAGTTATTACTAGGGAATATTAGTGTGTTTAGATGCTGTTTCTTCTTTGATGATGTTGTTTGGCCTTTACAAAAACTAAACTCTCTGATACGTTCCCTCATCTATTTATTTGGCAAAACTGTTATAAGGATTAAAAGTTATGTATGGATGTGACCGTTAGGTCAAGAATTTTTTAACATTCAATTAAAACTCTATATACTCAAATAATATACCTGGTTAATAGAGGGACCATAGTTCTCTTTGCAGCTACAGGATGATAACCTACAGTTTTTTGTCGTTCTTCACTTTAGCTTGGGTAAGTGGAATTCTTACTCAGAGCCAACTTTAATTCTGTTAACCCTCTACATCCTGAAAGCATCTGAGAACTGCCTTGAAGTTGCCACTGGTGTAACAGACAGAATATTGCCAGTGAGTGCTCGGCGGAGTCAGGTTGCAGGTGAAGTCAGGCTTTTAGAATTGCCCTTCTCCAATGAAGGCAAGTTCCAGTGAACTTAGCGAATCCAATCGGTCTCAGTTTGAAATTTCAACTCTCCTGGCATTGTCAGGAATAGGAATCTAGTTCTGGGAATCTCCCAGCTTGATACCGTTGTGCTCATTTAATTAGCCCTTGATTTTTCAGCACCAAAGAATAATTAGAAGGCATAGAAACACATTTTGAATCTGGGATTGAATGGTGAAAAGAATACCTGGTAGTAGTTTGTTAGGGTTTGCTCTTTACTTAATAGGAAGTGTGTTAGATATTTTATAGGAATTATGTTCATTTAATCCTTATAATAACCCTATCAAGTAGAGATGATTATCCTAGTTTTATGGGTGATGAAACTGAGGTCTGGAGAAACCTCATGATTTCCCTACGTCTTATAGCTTGAAAACAGTAGAGCTCAGGTTCAGTTCGGCTGTACTGTGTCCAAATCTCATTTGTGTAACCACCAAGTTCTAATACCTAGAATTAGTTATATTGAAATGGAGTCTAGGTGATAATTTTTTACAAAGCTTACTGAGGACTTTGCTGTCCCATGAAAACCTTATAGTCATCCTAAACTAAAAGCCATTGAATTTCTTGTTCAGAAATAATATGAAGCAGCCTGGTGAGGTGCTCAAGAGCACGGATTCCCAGTCCAGACCACCCGGGTTGAAATTCTGGCTCCCCCATTTCCTATAGGAGAAGCCTTGGATAATCTCTTGGTATTTCAATTTTCTCATCTGCAATACAGGAGGCCAAAGAGTGACTGCCTCCCAGGGCTCCTGTGAAGTTTGAGTTAATACACGTAAAGCGCTTAGAACAGTGCTTGCGACATAGTAAGAGCTACAAAAGTATTAGCTATTGCTGTTATTTCAGCAATGATCGAACATTTTCCAGAAAAGGAATTTGTGAATTATCTAAATAAGGAGGAACATTTCTACCCATGTTGTTTCTTTTGGTGCTGACCATCTTAATCTTAGGAATCTATCTATTTGACAGGTTAATGCCAATCACATATTTATACTCGTAGTGTTCTCTTTAAAAAATAACAGCTTTATTGGAATTCAAATAATATGTAATTCACCCATTTGAATTCAGTGGTTCATAGTGCATTCAGAGTTGTGACTGCTAATCTGAAGACTCTTCAGGTTAGAAGAGGAGTTTTACGATAAACACTTACCTTGGTGAATTTCACAAACAGAGCACTAAACTGACCTCAGTGCTCCGGGCCAGAGTGAGCACATTCCCATGACGTGGGCCTCCGTCACAGGGAGGAAAGCTCTCTGTCACCTCTACAAAATGTGAAACCCTACATGTGCAAAGAGACTCTTTAATCCTCTGCCTTCTTCTTGGTCTAAATCATGCCTATTCCTCAAGTTCCTTCCCAGCTTATTTTTCTCTACCTGGAATTTCTACCATTAAAGGCATTCCTTTAGATTAAAGGACAGCCTCTGGAACCAAACACAAATATTGGACATAACTGGGGGCAGCAGACAATTATTACTACTTGTTAGCGTGAATTAGACTATTCAGTTAGCTGGCACCCCAAACAGAGGGACTGGTATCAAGCACAGGTACGTGCATGAGGAGTGAACAGGTCGGTAGCATGAAGCAGCGTCTGAAAGGCCACGGTTGGGAACTTTGGGGACTCAGACAGCAGCGGCTGGCTCTCATGCATGACAGAGCGGGTGGAGCAGCCTGTGCCTCTGCGGTGTAGCTGGACATAAAGCAGGCTCTCGCATGTGCTATTGGTGGCATGACTTGAGTGCCTTGTGAACCACAGATAGCGTACATCTTAGCACTTACACATATGATGAGTGATACACATGCCTGTGCTTTTCAACCCCTGTGATTCAGAAAAGGAGGTAGTATGGGGATTTGGTTTTGTAGGAGGTAGTTCTCAAACTCACAACATAATTGTGCACTTGCAAAAATAATAACTTGTATATACTCTGTCACCAGATGAAAAATTGAATAAATAAATGAATAGGGTACTTTTTATCCCCAAATAAATACTTGGCATTTCATATCATCTTAATTTAGTGTCCGTTTATGCTTAATACTTACAGTAGGGGTAGCAATTAGGTTTCAAGAGTAGATATTGTATTATTCTTTGAATAATGGATATGGAATTGTGTTTTGGGTTTTTTCAAGTTAAGACATGCTGAGATGCCTTATTCTAGAGGAAGTAAAACATGTTATTAAACATTCTCTGCATATGTAGACAAAGTTTTCAGGCAATTATAAAGCTAATGTTAATATATGACTTTATGTTCTTCTGAAATGAATGTTAATATTACCAACAAGTTTGAAAGTAATTGTGATAAGCAACCACTCTTGTGCTTTATTTTAAAATTGATAAAGCATTCTAATTACCTTAAAACTGAGTTTGCAAATATAGACAGAGGTATTAAAAAATACATTCTGTTATGCCTAGTATTCACCATCTCTTGGTCGGTTCTCAAATAAATATTTATTGCATACTCTCCAAAATGAATAGAGACTTGAGAAAATTATTTGAAATAGTCATATAGATTAGGCAAGTGGTTTATTTACTCAATTTATCTGAGTATCTCATTCTTTCCTAAATCTTCTTTCTTTTGCTGAAGGATCAGATGGTACAGCATAAATAATAAAAGAGCACTAGGCCGTGATGACAGAACAGAATAATGGTTTTAAGGGCGATTTCCTAGGATGAGAGTCAAATCTTTCCAAAAGACAACTTGACAAACTTTTGCAGCTAAAGTTTTTAATGGAAGAGACCCAGAGTTCCATTCTGCGTATTTTGGAGTGTTCCCAAGTTGGACAAACTTTAGATTATCTTATGCAGAGATGAGTAAACTGTTTATGTGTCATATTAACCATTAAGCTTTGCTCTGCTTACATAGATGCAAACATTATTGCTAGCTGGAACTGTTCTTTTATTCAATCGCCCTGTTGGTAGAGTAGCAACTCTCTCCTATGCTTACTGTAAAAAACAGCAATTTAGTTAATCATGAGCCCAAAGTTCATGGATGCCCAATTCTTAATTATGGATAGTTTCATAGATCATTGTTAGGTTTTATAAGCTTGTAAATATAAATGCAGTGACTAGTCTGTTTTCTAAGAAAATTTTATTCTGTGAGCAAATCAAAACTGGTTGGCATTCTTTGTTCACCACATGAATTCCTATGCAGAGACTGGTGTGAATTCATTATTAATGGACAGCATGCTAGAATAGGAAATAATGCTTTCTCATTTGTTGGCTTTTTAAAAAAATTCTGTTCCATTTCAACATTGCTATTTTCATTCTGTACTTGATATATTTTAGAACAATTTTCATATTGCATTAATTTCTACTTACTAATTTTGTAGCTAGTTCCTCTACATGTTTAAATTTCTAAATTCAGTTGTGAAGAGAATAATCTTTTTAAAAATGATGAACATTTAACCTTAAAGGCATGCTTTGCAAGCCTCAGGTACATAGTTTGAATTTTCAGATTTAAGCCATCTCTCTCCTGAATTGTAGGTTAGAACTCTACTACTTTTTGAAAAAACTGTACCACCTTTTTTACTACTTTTCTTTTACTCATTATAGATAAGAACTTGAGCAGTTCATTATGTACTCTATGACATACAAAATATAATTTTAAGATGCTGTTTGATGTCCAACCTACATATGACATACAATGTACATTAATGCACAACATAATGTTTAATGTACACTTTTCTCTTGAGTCTTTCTTTCTTGATTTCAGCTCTTTTTCGTACAGTACACATACCCTCAACTGTGATCCCTGACTCCAGCTTAGAGATGCTGCTGTACCTTCTGCAGAGAATACCTTGCTGACTCTGCTGGAAAGTTCTGCCAGGAGTGGGATGGGGTGGGGAGGGGACGCCTTATGTGCTTCTTAAACAGCTTCTGCTCCATCCTCCTGATGGTAACTCCACCTCTGTCCTCTGGCCTAGAGATGCCTGGTGCTGCCAAGTTCCACCCGTTTTCAAAATTTTGGAGGGTGAATTGAGTTGGTCTTTAGATTTCTCCACTGCTGTTTTAGATTTTGATTTTTTCAGGTTTTCTAGGTCAGCTACCATTCATTTGCTATCTAGCTTCCAAACCTTTACATTTATATCCTTCCCAGAATAAAATATTTAAAAATATATGAACAAAAGTAATGTATTTTGGATGCATTCATTTCTTTGATCTCTAAGTTTCTTCTTTATTTTAATAGCTCTGTTAATGGATTTATGTTTTGGTGCAAGGGTTCCAGCTGCCATCTCAAATGCCTACAGGGGCCAGGCAGGTGTTCTGGCCCCTTTCCCTGGATCAAAACCCCAGATAGGTCAGGATCAGGAATAACTTCTGCGGGAGAATCCCAGAGCAATCCAAGCTCTGTCCTCCTTTCCATTTGGGACAATAGGAGAACACTTGCCTATGCTGCCTATGGTAGGGTAGAGATGACTTTGTGACCAGGTGGTGAGAGAGAGGGACTGAGACGGTCCCCACTTCCCCACCTTGCCAGTTCCCCATGGCTTGTACTTGGAGGGAACACCATGGTCCCCAGTGAGAGGCATGGGAAGTAGGTAAGCCACTGCGAGTCAGGCATTGCCATGGGGCCACCATAGCATGAGTCAAGGTGCATAGCAGAGCCAGGGCCAGGGGGAGTCAGGTCTGAAATGCAAAGGACCCGTGATTTCAGGAAAGGCTGAGTTGAGACTTGGGGAGATGGTGCTGGAGGTGAGGTTGTTGGGTGGTCCCAACGATGTCGAGAAAACAGACCCCAGCGAACCCATGGATTTTAGCAGTGGATTTAGCAGGACCCCAGGAGGCCAGCAGCCCCTCACATCCTCAGAGATCCCCTAAATACATCTCCTCTTGGAGTTGCCGCCCTGGGAAGGAGGAGGCAAGTGGTGAACTTTTGAGCATAAAGAAACAGCCTCCATGGAGTATGAACCCTGAATTTGACTGAATATTTATCTGAAAGAGACATTAAAAATGAAAGAGGCTGTTTCAAAGCAAAAGAAACTGTTTTAATCTGCAAGAAACTAAATTACCTTTAACTAGCAAAGTTAAATGTCCTCCTAGTAGCAGAAATTGTGGACACATAAGAAAGAGTAGCTGAGTTATAAAAAAGAAAGAAGCCACATTTTTCTTAAAATGTATTTTTCTTAAACAACCTGAGTTGCTAGTGTACATGTCAAGACACAATTGGGTCCTCTCATTGGAATGTTGACTTCTGAATTCATTGAGTGCCACTTAATTAGATATTTTTAAAATGTTTTATGTATTTATTATGTATGTTGCAACTGATGGTATAATTGTTTGACTGTGAAACTAGAGAAATCTAAGGCATTTCTCCCTGACATGCACTATAATAGTTATTATTAGAACAGGTAAGAAAAAATGGCAGGTTGTATTAGAATACAAGATTGTCAGTTGGTGTTTACTACAATTGCAAAATCAACTTGTTAACAAAAGAACATTAGACTCCCCCAAATATCTTGGTGTTTACATGTGTGATGGTCAAAACATAAATGTAAACTGTGGAGTATGACATACAAAAAAAATGATTGCTTTAATTGTCATTAAGTTATTGCTAGACTCAAAGAGAAAAAGAGTTGCAAAATATAGCTAAATGTGTATTTCTGTTATAACAGACATTTGCCTCCCATTCCTTTTCCTCGGTATACAATAAGATAAATGTCTAAAAGCCTTGGCTTTAGATTTGGAGCCAACAGTTTGCTATCCTTCCGCCCAAAGCCATTAATGTCTTCCTGTGTAAGCGCGAGGGTGAGTGTGTGCGTGCTCCAGTCGGCGTGAGGCTTAAGCTTTGGGATAAAGAGTGACTGTGTCGTAGCCCTCTGGAGGCCTCGTGCGGGCTCTTGCATGAGTTTCGCAGTACAGCTCCCCCTCCACAAAGAAGTAGCCCTTCTGTTTGAGGTTGAGGTTGCAGTCAGCACACACGAAGCACTCCGGGTGCCGGTACTTGTCCCGTGCCTTCACGACCGCACCGCTGTTGAGGAAGGGAGAGCAAGTAAACAACACAAAGCCAAACGCATGGCACAAAGGGAGACACCACTACAGAGAAGCAGGCTCTATCTGTTTCACACTCAGGAAACATCAGCCTCCCGCTGTAAGACCGGACACAGCTGTGGGCTGATTGATTGTCAGGGAGATCCAGGACAACCCTAATAAACTATCGCGTATTTCTCTGTGATGTTGTTGGGTGAGTATTTTGAAGAATCTTCACACAAGTCATTTATATGAAAGTTAAAGGATCACACTTGATCTTTCTCCGTTGTTTCTTTGCACGAGGGAGACTGTTGCAGATAAAACACACACACATCCTGCAGGCTGTTGTTTACGAAGGTTGTTGTCTACACAACAACCAGTTTCTCTGATTGTTATCTTGGTGGTGTAACCTCTGTTCCTTGGAGCATAGAGGAAACAGATCAAAGAGCGGGGATGGAATTGGACTCGCTTCTGCTGTCCAAACGGTGTGCTGCGACTTAGAAGCAATAATTGCTTTTGGTAATGTCCCGTGCTATCGTGTGTCACAGGGTCCACCCTGCTCCTGAGCACCCTGTCCTTTGGATTTGTTTCTGCTCGTGTTTCCCTCTTTGCTCCAGCCAGGCCTATCTCCCACTGCCCTTCTGGGATGAATCCTGAGTAACTGGACAGATGGTGCCTCAGCGTGTGAGCTAAGGGTAGAGAAACAGAATAGAGGGATGGCAGAAGTGGCTACATGGGGCATTTGTGGCAAAGAGATTAAAATGATCTGGTTCACTCAAAGATTTGAGCTAGCGAGTGTGGCTCCTCAAACAGAAAGGCCCTTGAAATGGGAGCTGACTGTATTTTTAAAAATTATATTTCAGTATTTGTGAAACTTAAGAAACTGGGTAAAGATAATGTTATTTAATTAACAACCTGATGATCCTGTATTTGTTTCCCTGGCTTTATATAAAAAAGGGAGTACCCAAAGACTACATATTTACAGAGAGAGAGGGCTTATTGAAGTGCAGTTATGATTCTTGGAAATTACTTTGAAAATATACTTGTAAAAAATTAAAATATACACTTTTTTCATGAGAATCATTTCAAATTATAAGTCAAGATTACTGATTAGCATTATATACCAGTTTTAGGGTACATCCCAGTAATTCTGGTCGAAATGTGCCAAGTATTGTGGACACTGAATTTCAAGTCAATGAGTAGAAACAGAGAACAGATACCAAGATTTACAGTGAATCCCTGGGTTAAAGTGAAACTTACACAATGCCACTCCCACATTTGTCACAGAGTGGCATCTTCTGTGTGCTGCCAGCGCCCCCATGGGCTTTTGTAACTGGAGCTCTCACACTCCGTGTTCCAGCAGGACGGTCATCTGAAAAACAGTGTTTCCATTTATGGCAAGGGAACAGCTGGCTACAGTTTGTACTTGGCTTCTATTTTAAGGTGTGGCCTTTAACCTAAGGAATTCTCAAGTTGTAACCGTACCAGCATTTCAAAAGAAACAAGAACTGTTCAAGCATAAGTTGTTCTGAAAAGGGCCTTACAAAACAGAGTTAAAAGCTTTTGTTATTGTAGGGACCTCTTGCAGAATGTTCAAAGAAGCACAACATTTTCCATTTTTTTCTTTGTTTTTTACTGTGGTAAAATAGACATAAAGACTGTCTTAGCCATTTTTAAGTGTCATTCAATGGCATTAAGTACATTCACGGTGCATCTATCACAAATATCTGTTTCTAGGACTTTTTTTTTGTCATCCCAAACAGAAACTTTGTACCCACTAAACACTAGGCTCCTCATTCCCAGAGCCTGGTAACCTCTATTCTACCTTTTGCCTCTATGACTTGCCCTATTCTAGGTACCTCATAGAAGTGGAATCACACAATAGTTGTCCTTTTGTGTCTGGCTTATTTCCCTGAGCATAATGTTTTCAAGGTTCATCCATGTTAATAGCATGTATTAGAATTTCATTCCTTTTTAAGGCTGAATAATATTCCATTGTTTGCATAGCCCACATTTTGTTTATCCATTGATCAGGTGATAGCTATATGGGTTGTTTGTATCCTTTGGCTATTGTCAGTAATGCTGCTTTGAACATTGGTGTCCAGGTATCTGAGTCCTGTCTTCTGTTCTTTTGGGTGGATACCAAGGAGTGGGATGGCTGGATCATGTGATGATTCTACGTTTAACTTTAGAGGAACTGTTGTACTGTTCAACATTTTACATTCCTGTCAGCAATGAACAAGGGTTCCTGTTTCTCCACATCCTCACCAACCCTTGTTATTTTACCTTTTGAAAAAAACAGCCATCCTCATGTGGCATTTTGCATTTTGGTGGGACTTTGAAAGGATAGAGTTCCTTTTGCGGGGGGCAGAAACCATTGGTAAGAGTGCAGGCCCTGCACACAGCAGGAGCGGGTCACAGCCCCAGCTCTGCCTCCGACTGGCTGTAGGGCTGAACAAATCCCCTGTCTCTATGCCTCATTTCTCATTTGTTAAATGGGGAAAATAAGAGCTCCTACCTCGCATAGTTATTGTCAGGATTAAATAATAATGTATGCCAAGTATTTAGCATAGGATTGAGAACATAGTAAAGGGGTATTTAAGTGCTATTTTAAAATTTTGATAAGAATGCTACCTGGATTGTGGGGGAGGCTGAGGAACGCTGTAGTGTCCATTTAGTATTCTATTTTATGATGAACAAGCCGAGCTTAGCCCTTGACTCTGGTGGATGGAATCTGTCTTTGGTGCCCTTTTACCACCAAGCTGGTGACTCTTGGACACATTCTGGAACCTCTTTTCCTAAACCAGATGCCATTCTGAACAAAAATTCAGTTGAAGACTGAATAAAATAGATTTTTGTAGACTTTCATTCCCAGTATGTTTGCTGTCCTCCCTCCCCTGACCTTTACAAGAGCCTCCATCGATAATATTTGGACAGACATTCATGGCTACGCACCGTCGTGGACTAGCTCCTGGAGCACCCGGAAGGAGCCGGACTGGCGAGGCTGAGTCGGTTCATTCCGGTTGTCGTGGAGCATCCGGTACACATCTGACTCGGGCGGCACCGAGGCCGTGGGTTCACTGAAACACAGGATGGCAGCAGAGCGGGGTCAGGAGCGCGGGAGGCGCGGGACGTGCCAGAAGCCACAGACATCAATAAACAGTGTTACTAGATTTGCAGTAACTTCTGAACAGACACTCAGCACTTTCAAGTTTTAACTCTATCCCAGTTAAAAATATAATGTGAACTCATATTTTTACATGTCATGAATTAACCTGGAGTCACATCAGCACTTCTCCGTTTGGTAAAATAGTTTGAAGAGCAATTTAAATGTGATTGTTAGGCAACAATAATTTTAAAAAGTCAACACTTGTGTCTGATGGATATGTAACTCTAATGTGAACAAAATTAATTTTTCTCAGAGAAAAGACAACATACACGTAATAGAGAGTGCCAGGAGTGAGCCCAGTTCGATTATTTTGTGATAAAATTGTCAATAAAATTCAGATTTATTTCTCACATTAAACTAAATATTAATTAAAACTATTAATTTTGTTTTTGAGGTTAATTTGCTTTGCTAACACTCTGGAACCAGTAAAGGCTTAACTTTGCAAATTGAACAAATTCAACTTGTCATTGTTTGAAATGCTTAACATAGAAACTTTCATATACATGTCAGTTATGCTGAGTACATTATATTTTTTAACATCTACATTACAATTCATTTACAACAATGATAGCTTTATTTTAATATAATTTCTACAAATATATTCATGTGAGCAGTTTAAAAATACCACAATATTACCACATGTTAGGCAATAAATGCTTTATTATTTTATTTTACTTAATTGCATTACCTAGAAAACATAGTTCCTATCTGCTGACATTTTTATTGCCTGTGTAATATTTGAAAATAATCATCCTCTATCTGAAATTCCTTTTAAAAAGGCTTTGAGATACATTATGCTATTATTTTTCTCATTGTATCCATCCCAAGAGATGTCTTTGGGATACTGTTACATAGAACTCTGAGTCATGGTACCTTAATTTAGAAAAAGTGGTTCTGTAATATTGAAAGAAGTAATAAGATTTTATCTTACAAGAAATCTCTTTAATTGAAAAAACATGAGGGAAAAAATGCCTTCAACAAATATTCATAATAAAGAAGAAATTAGTCAAAATAGAGACCAATGAAATTACATATCTACATTAATAGCTTGAGATATTCACTTATAAACCCTTATTCATGGCAAACATTTTAAATGGAAAAAATAATTCTCTGTCCTCAAGATGCCATGAGAAGAGACAAGAGGTGTCATCTCTGAAAACTTCTCTGAACCTCCCCACCTTTCCCAATTTTTGATCTCCAAAGGAGAAACACAGAGTATACTAGATTATAAATCACTTTTGAGAAGTATTGGAGCTTTTTGTAAAGTCCATTGTAGCTTTTCAAATACATGTACATTTGGCCCTTCCATGATTTCATTTTACTGCACTATGTCACAAAGCTTTACTCAGTACATTCTTCAAATCACCTTTATCATTAGGCCTAGTAGCTATTTGCATTAAATCCTTAGAATTTCGGCCTTAAAGCTTTTCACATAGCTTTCTTTCAATTAAGACAATGTTAAAAGACATTGGTAAAGTCGATATTGCCCATGTGTTTAGTTAATATGCCCATGGTTCAGAAAGACTCATATTACCTCATTGTGGGTGTTTCCCCTAGAGCTGTTGAAACCTGACCCTGAAGTGTTTCCATAATATTGTCATCTGAGTACAACTGCATAGGTGTATTAAACTGAGCATGTACAATCTTCACACCGGGAAGTTCCATTTCCAAAGGAATGTTAGGGGCCATCTTAGCAGCCACTTTCAAGTCACCTGGGCAAATAGTACTAAGAGTACTGACAGAAGAAGGGGTGCTACGTCCACTGCCACCGTCAACACCGGACGGAGTACTGCATCCACTGTGTTAATGACCACGTGACACAGAGGTGACACAGGAACCAGAAAATCCATACAGGAGAACACATAGAACAAGGACAGAGAGGTTAAAAGGAATTGAAGACAGAAAGTCAGAAGTGAATTAAATCAAATTGTAATGAAATGTTTACTTCTGGCTAGAATTTATTCTAAAAAGGGAATGCTTACATTTAAACATTCATGATTGATAAAAGTTTAGCAAAATTAAAAGATACAGGTGATATTGCATTTTTTGGCTGTGTTCTACTAGGTAATATGTAAGTGGAGGGTTGCACGTAGAAAGAGTTGTGTATAAAGTAAGTAGAACTGTCCTCACTTTTAAAAAATAGGCCAAGTGGTTTAAAAATTGACAGTATCACAGACAAATGATGCAGGGAAATTATATTAGCCGGACATCCTTTTACATGTCTGACTGCAATATTTAAAATTAAAATATTAATGAAGATCCTTCACAAATAGTAACTGAATATGCAGCATAAAAATCCAATTGAATATTTAAGGTAAACATACCAAAAGGATAAATATGTTTCAGAAACACAGTTAAGCTTTAATTGATTAGTAATCACCAACTTGAAGGCCATGTGCTAAAGCTTATGCTTTAAGGTTATTTTGTAAATCTTTTATTGTTATTATTTTAACTTCTTCCATTTTCATTCTTTAATTTTGTGAAGAATACACTTTAAAAAATGGTTCAGTGGTTACTCTAGAAACAGCCAGTAAATGCTTGTCACCTTGAAATTAATGATTAGAGGGCAGATAAAGTGATCTTGGGCTCTCCACGTGCTACCAGGGCTAAGATACATTTCTTTTATACATAACTATTTCATGTAAAATATTGGAAGTACACATATTTCATGCATATTTCTCATCTCACTTAAAAGAAAAATTGAGCATACTTATTATTAAAACATCAGAAAGACCAGCCATGCAATTTGAAGACCAACTAGAGAGATTTCATATTTTTAGGAAAGTGAATAGGAACCTAGTCACAACTGACATGCTAATGACTAAAAAGTCAGTTTTCTTCATACATTTTAAACACAGCATGAGAAACATGTTTTATCAGAAAATGGGATATACTGAGATTTTTTAAAAAGCACATTTAAAACTAAGTCAAAAGAAATATTAGTATTTGTAAACTTCTCTCATGCCCGCAGGTTAGTGTTGCTGTAATCTCAAGACCGAGAACACTTTCTGGGGTGTGTTCATCTCAGAGTTGGTATCCTCTTAGGGCTCAAGTACGGCTCCATATCTGCATCTATCTACTCTGGCTACGGAGCTAACGTCAGCCCCATAAAGAGAGCAAAACCCAAAAGGATATTGGGCACTGATTTTGTTGGTTTTATCAGTGTTACAGCCCGATTAGTCTGGACAGTCCATGTCATTAAGTGGATTTAAAATTTATTTTGTCTTATGTGATCCAGTTCAACCTCCTCCACAACCTAAAAGAGGCAGGTGGATATAGACATGCTCCTTCTCTTCCTGGCTGTTGAGGACCTGTTTAAAACTCAATCTGTAAATTGATTGATGACATACAAAAATGACAAGTGGTTTATTCACCATTTTTATAGGCTCAGCCCTACACTGATTCCTGAAATTGACTTCAGTTGGTAAAAGAACAGAAATAAAATTTCAGCGACAGTGTTTGATTTGACCTAAGTATAATGCAGCTTATTAAAAATGCAGTTTAGGGATTTGGGACAATGCGCTAAACCTTGGGGGACTTTGGGCTCAAAATAGTGAATCTTTTTCAACAAGCATGTCCTGACAGAGTGTCAGGCATAGTGCTAGAAAGTAGATAGATAAAGTAGGATCAATTCAGAACTAATAGGTACACTTTATTTTATCAATGAAATTAGTAATTTTTTTTCTATTATTAGGGTTACTGTATACATGTGATTTTATGTAGATAATTTAATTTATATAAAAGATTGTGTCTTGTATTGCCTAGTCTACCATTCTATTTACGTTCCCACGTCTATTGAATAGGTAGAAAATAAACCCTAAGCAAATAAGAATGACCTTTTTATAATTTCTGGTACAATTTTAAAAGATCTCTTGAACTGATGCTTTAAATACGAGTTTCTATGGACTCCAGTCACTGCGGATAGCATCATGGGTCACCATGACCTATTCCTGTGACCTGGGAAGGTAGATATTAATGAGATTTCTTGACGTTGACTTAGTGACTTGACCAGACCACCTGTAAGCTTGGTGATACACCCGGCTGCTTCACACCTAGATAGATCATTAGAGAGTGAATTTCTCCCGGATGTGTGTATAAACTGCTTGGGATGTGCTTCTGAAAGTGAGTTGTCCAATAACCACTCAAAGCGTTGTATTTTATCATTTGGATCTTGTATGTATTTTAATTATAGCTTTGGCTTTAAATACTGACATGAAAATGCTGGTGTGTTAATTATGAAATGATGAAAAGAACCATAACTAGTAGTATGGCCCCAGGGAGATTAATGTATCAACAATTTAGCATCTCCAACTTCTGATTACAAAGTTGTTCATTAATGGTGTAGTTACAGATTGCCATGTTACCACTCAAAATTCCACTTTGATGAAGAATCGTTTGGTGAGAATGAGAAATTCAGAAGCTACAGCAAATAGTGAGGGGCATAGGAAGAAAGGATAGTAGAGGTGTTTTTATGATTCCTTAAGATTTGTGTAGTTTGTGTTTTTTAAGTGGATCCCCTCATCCCTGTTTCTCCTCTCCTCTCTTCCAGAATGAACTATTCTGAAAGGCACCTTACAATGACAAAATTATGAGTGGCTTGTCATTATCACTGTCTTTGAATTAAAGTGGAAATATAATAGAAGGGCACTACATACCTCAATCTCTCTGACTTCCCTTCAATATTTATAAAATTAAATGTTACAGGGCTTTAGTACAGGCAAGATATGTTACTCTAAGGAATCATCTCATTCAAGCTTCCTGAAGTGCTATGGCTCAAGTCAGTGAACCTAACAGTTCAGCTAACCTCAAAGGAACATGAGCATATTCATTTTAATCAGCTTCTTCAGGAAGCTGTGTATATATTTAGTCAATAGTAAAATCGCATTTTTACTTTGAATACCATGTTGTTCTGTTACTGGGGGTGCAGGTGGGAGGCTGAATGTGGAGAACTGAGGCAGAGATGCAGAGGAAAATGGAATGAGAACGTGGGAACAAAAAACAGAGAAGTAAGAAAGGATTGTGCAGCGTTGCTAGCATGGGAGAGGGCTGATAGTGCCTGGTTCTTCTCGCCTCTCAGGAAATATTATTGGGTATGCTTAGGATTTTGTTCCTTTATCTAATTTTTTTTAAATGTATCTAATATTTATTGAGCATTTACTGCAGCATTACTCATTTCTAGGTGCTGGGGATGTAGGTGCTTACATGCTAGTGGGGGAAGGTGTATTTGCTAGGCATCTTTCTCCTGCTCTTCTTCTCAATTGCTGGGTTTGGAGTCTGAGATCACCAAACTGTCTGGCATATGTTGAGGCGCTGTGTGTGCACAGTTATCCAGGAGAGCAACCAGTACACCTTCCTTCCCTTTCTTTATACTTATTTTCCCTTAGGTAGAAAAGTTCCTTTTCCAGTGGACTCTCTTCTTTTGCAAGTTGCCCTAAGAATGCACATTTTTACATAAGGGTGAGGATGAATTGGGATGACCCAGTGGGTTCTAACGGTGGGATGAAAAGCAGGTGCTGAGGTGGGGTAAGCAGATAAATGTTCCCATAGGTGCACCGCCCGTTTCCTGACTCCTGACCTGGAGCTGGGTTCCGGGTCTGCTTGCGCTGGCTGGGCCTTCCTGACCTGCCTTACAAAAGTCACTGCGCTCTGGATACTTGGTGCAGCAGGGGTATTAGTTATAAATATACGTGATGATTGGGTGACACTGCACAGCTCTATCTTGCCACTATCTGCTCTTGGAAGTGGAGGGTAGCTGGCTACTCGTCTCTGCTAAGTGAGTTCGTTTCTTCTGCTTTTGAAATAAGCTTCAAAATGAGAGCAGTCACACCAAACAACTAAAAAGTTAACTCTTTTGGGTGAGTAGTAAGGATTTATTAAAGAAGCATGCATTCCAAACGTCACACTCTCAGAGCTTATGACCTGCTTCGGCCTGGGATTATGAAAGGTTTGGGCCGAATATTGTGCTTGTGTTCAAAGTAGTTCACATCCTGTAAAAACAAAGTTCACATCCTGAGGTTAAAAAGCCCCTCAGTAGGATATTATTTTTAGATAAAATTAACGAGTGATAATTGTACAGAGAGGCTATTTACCACCAGTTATTGATACGACTAAGAAAGGTGATGACGGAACCAGGGCGATGTCTCTGTTTTAGCCATCTATCCACAGGAACTGGCAGACTGCACTCCAGAACAGTAGAACCATGTTCTAGATGCTTGCCTTTACAGTAAAAATCTGATCGTTGCTTCAGGAAAGTAGAAATAAAACAGCAAGAGCTGGACTTTTGAAAGGAAAAGAAAGCATACTATCTATCACTGTTAAAAACATGGCGGCCAGAAACCGACTCCGATACTTACTTTTGAGGTGAACTAGGAATGAGACCCCGCAGCTGTCCGTGAAGCGCGTCTTGTATATTGCTAGTTGAATAGAGCCCAATGGGTGAGTTATAGGAAGCGCTCACTACCTGCCTTTTGTCGTCAATGTTTGCTGCTGCAACAAAAGGCTGGGCCCTTCTGTTGTGCGCGGTACCAATGGGTTTGAACTCCTGTACAATGGCAGACAAAATACACAGAGCCACAGAATGCACAATGAAGCCGTTAATGAGCAAACCCACAGCATCGCTATTGTTAACCCAGGCTTCTTTCCCCACTACAAGATTAAAGGCAAGGTTAAAGGAGGGGTTAGGGATAAACTTTTGCCAGTACCAAATTTTCTACATGTGCTATATTCATTCACCGGATGTTCAGGTGCAAGGGAATTGACTTTATTTTAAAAATTATAAAATAATTTGAACATTGTGTCTTTTGTCTGCCCTTTACTGACTTACACATTTACAGGTTTTAAGAAAATCTGAGATGACTCATTTGAATACAGAAATTCTGTGTCAGAAATGAGATTTTTGGCTGGGAAAAAGTATTACACAACATTTTCTCAAGTAGAACTTACATATGTTTTTCTCTTCTGTTACTAATTTAATAAAGTCTCCCCCTTTTATGAAATGGAGAAATAAAACAATCAGAAAGAGAGTGAGCATTAATGAATAACTATACTGAATCATTTGAACTAATCTAACTGAAAGTTGTTTTTTCTCTCTGTCTACCACAAAAACCAAAATTCTTAATTTTCTTTAAGTCCTAATTTTAAATTCGGAAAAAGAAATTAAAACTCTTTTTCCTTATGAAAGCAGAAATAACATTTACAGGATCTCCCCCCTTTATGTTGTTTGGTAATTTCCTGTTGTGTGTTTAAAGAATTCTTCGTGTTTACTCTAGTCCCAGAAAGACTAAAGTCAGTGATTGACAGACAGCTAATGCATATGATTCACAAAAGGATTTATACTTTATTGCTCAGGGAAAAGGACCAGACATCAGATTCCTAAAGTCTGTATTCGAAACATGCCTGAATGATCTGCAACTCTGTATTATTAGTTTTTGAGGTCAGGAATCAGGTTTTCCCATTTTTATGCAGATGTATAATTTTGTAAAGTTATTCAATTTTTTCTTTTTTTAAGCAGCAGAAGAAAACCAAAAGGGAATGCTAAAATAAACCTGAGCTAATTTTCTTTCCAAATCTTTTCATTTGGCAGAATTAGTAAGATAAATCTTAACAATATTTTTACTCACACATTCACATCAACTTCATTTACTTTTGTCAATGTGCCACCAATGTTTCACACAGATTTCAATTAGGACAAACATTTATGATTATTTGAAATGTTACTAGAAAGACGCTGCTTTGATTAAAAAATAAAAAGACCTTGTAATATTCTTCATGTCATTTTTTTTTCTCGTCATTGTAGATGAGTAAGTTGTGGGCTGGCACTCTTTTTTTTGCAAAGAGACTGTCTTCCTTTCTTAGGGGTGGAACCGGAGTTTGCACAGAGATTCTTGCACCTGAGAACATCAACAACTTCCTTCTGAGAACCAAGCAGCAAAATGCCCTTTTTTGGTTCTCTTGAGCAGGCAGTCATCATAAATCCCCCCTACCCTCACCTAAGCCTATCAAAAAAGCCCACCAGGCATATGGGATGCAGCTTCAAATACTAGCCCTACTGCATCCGACTCCAGCTGTCTCTAATCTTATGGTACCTGATAATCTGTGATGTGGTAATGAGCAATTTTTCTCTCATTAACCTTGGACATATTTTAACAGCCTCCTGACCTTGAAAAGAAGGTCTGAGTTGAATACAGAAGCCTATGATCCCATAGTGTGAGTGAATGGACTGTTATTTTATTGATTTGATTTTCTTCCCTCCAGAAAATGGCTCACTGCCTAGGAGTTGAGACCCCTGGGTTGGGTGACAATATAGTTGCTGGTATTGGATCACAGAATGACCAGAACAACCAAATACGGCTTTAGAAAAATGTTGAATCCCAGAGCATTGGAACATCTGTGTAGTCAAACATTTATTTAGTGGTACAATCTGATTGTTGGGATGATTTAATAATGAATTTAGATGGGCCGTGTGTCATGATTAACCATAATGGTTAGCCATTATTGTGGCATGAAAAAGTGAAGTAGAAATAATTGTAAGTAATGACAATTACCATGATTCAAATGTGTGGTTTTTGATATGATAGAAGACAGAAAGCCCATTGCCTAATTTCGTTTTGGTAGATTATCAATTTCTCAGGCTAATTAAAAGAGTGAACAGGCAGGACAAAATGACTCAAGCTTTTTTTTTTTTAAATAAGCATGCTATGCCTTAAAGATCTTGGTAAATAAAACTGAATTTGCAAAAATTAGTTAACATAAAATGATGGCTTTAGGGGGAAGAAAAATCTCTGCCTTGTTTTCTTCTTAGTCTTCAAATAATAAATGAACATGGATGGTGATTGTCCTGTAAATGAAGCAACCTCTCTGGAAGTATTTGTGCACAAGTAATCTCCAGTAGCACTTCCAAAAAAAAAAAAAAAGCAGCACATAAGTTAATCAGCACCAAGCTTTTTCTTTGCCATTTCCAGTCTTTGCTAATGTAGCAAAGGTCACAAATGTATAATTTGTTAAAACATAACCCTCTATGTTCTTCTCAGATCATAAAAGGAAGTGTTTCTAACATAGGCTTCCAACATTTGTGTTTAGGCTTTGCAAAGCATTAGTTTATGGGCTGCTAGAGTCATTCCAGAAAATCACAGTGAAGTGTATACACCAAAGGTAAACAAAAAATTTAAGTATGGCATTGAGAGGCAACATTCTATCCAAGTCTTACATCATTGTTGATGGTCAAACAGAATAAAAAAAACAAAGCCAATTAGAAGTTTTTATTCCACTTTAGTTCCTTCTTACATTTCCTGGAAAATACCAGTAAAAATTTTACATGACAGCCAATATAGTCCAGCTCTTGTGTTTATTTTACCCAGACAAAAGCATCCAAAGGGCTCTTATCTCGTAGGAATTCAGTACATAATCATTGCAGTTAATGAATGCATTTTTACATATTATTTTTAAATGTTAGGAGCTTTATATTAAGGAATAGTATTTTGAATTAATGAAATGCTAGTGCTGCCAGAGGAATAGCTAAGTAACTTGACAGAGATCTGCTGCCGCCTGGGAGAGCTCAGCTCTGGACCACAATCTCCCCAGTCCTTGGTGTGAGCTCAGCAATGAGAGCGTTCAAAGACGGGTCACCTTTCAACTTCTAGTTTAGAGAAGTTCATAGGTGAAGGTTCAGTCAAGGAACTGAGGTGATTACCAGCTCCAGCAGAACCAACGTGTTTGATAAGATGCATATATATATATATATATAAATGTATTAGAAAAAATGGTGCGGAAATAAGGGCAAAAACTGTATCAAGTGATTATATATTTTGATCAAACCACACTGAGTAAATGATTGTATTTTATTATGTTTGGAATTTATCAACAATCACCACCCCCTCCGCATGCTCACCCCTCAAATGAAAAAGTCACCCTTACGATTTTTTTCGGTGATCTGTTTCAAGTATTTCCCTTATCTCATTGGGGAAGACTACTTTGGGGAAATGGAGATGAAGAAAGCTCCTTTTGTGCAAGCCGCCTTCCAGTTATCAGAACATTGTAGGATAAAGTTATTTTATGAAAATATAAACAACTTTCAACTCATACCCCACTTGACTGTGCATGTAGTCCCTCTTTATTATCAAATGTATGGCAAGGATGCAGCCCTTTATATGAAAATAGGAACAACTTTCTTCTCACTTAGGAAATAGCCATTTTTTTCTAAAAACTATTTTTGCTGTATTGTGATAGCTATGTTATACCTTTGAGTTGTTCAACTAACATTAAACAAAGATGAGGGAAATGTTTTATTTGAGAGTGTAAGCTTTGAAGGAGAACAAAGAACGCTCAAAACATACTCTAGAACAATGCTTTGTATAGAAAAATGTCTATCTGCTCAGAGGCTCTGTTTAGGATTGTAGGGAAGGCATTTATTCAAAGGCTGGGGGTTGACATAAACAACCTCTAAGGGTCCTTTTAAGCCTCAAATTCATGTCTACATTCATAAAAGCAAAATTTAACTATTTAATAACAGCATGGAAAAATAAAACCTAATACAATATTAAAATTTTATATTAATTATTATAACTGTGGAAAAAAAGACCCCCAAACCTAAGCTTCTGCATAAGGTAAAGACTGGATATAAATACACTAGCATTTTGTTATTCGTAGTTGGGCTTGGATAATAGGATATAGTGGGGGTTTATTCTGAAAAATATATATTACTTATAAAATGTAAAAGAATATTTTATTTCCATTGCACAGGCCACAGAGCTCACGTTTGACCTGAGTTGAGAAACAGGAACTCAAGTACTCTACTGCTCAGTGACATTTTACTGTTCATCTGCAATGGCATCTTAAAGCCTGATATGTTAATGGCATTTGTTTCTCACACTGAAACACCTTTGTTGTCTATTCTGGGGGGAAAAAGATATCTCTCTGCAAGATTTCTCTTCTCATAGCTTTGTATTGATTAAAAAAATAGAAGAATGCAAGCATAACTACATTTTAGCTTTTCTCCAGTCTCTTCCTGTGAGTGAAATCTAATGCTTGTTTTTTTATCACTGCACTTTATTTTACTTTATGCTATATGATTTTCAGATAGCAGAGATGGTACTGAAATTTAGCCATATTACGTAGGGAATGTCTGTCCTGAAGTGCCAAGTTATGTGACTGACCATGCAGAAATCTGGAGTCAGAATCCTTTCGTCCATTAGAGAAAGAATTGAAATGATCTTATCTCCAGGCACTTCAAACACTGGCTTCTTGGAGAGGGTGCCAGTAAGAATTAGTCATGACTCAAACTAAAGGAATTCTCAAAGCTTCATCTGACTGACTTCTGCAGTTCTTAACTGACCTTCACCTTTTTTTGTTGTTCTTCTTACCTGTCTCATCCTCTATCTTTCCCCCATTTGTAATATCATAAATATCCGTATCATCTCACCCCAAAGGGGAGGACACCTGGGTCAATCTGTGATTGATAGGAAGCCAGAGTGCTTAAAATTAGGATTAGCTTTTAAAATCCGATTCTTGGATACTGTAAACAGAGTCATAAATTGATACTTACAGATTTACAGAGAGGGCCTTTTCTAGAGCTAAAACTCACACAATTGCCCTTAAACTCCAATTGTGGAAAGATGTTGGCGAAACACAGTCTCCCATCTTGGTCTAAGCTCACCCTGTGCTTAATAAATACTTGCTGAGTCACCCCCGTGCCAGAGGGGCCACGGCAACATGAGCACTGGGGAGCTGGCACATCTGTTTAAATGGCCTCATGTCTTAGCATCTCATGTTGATGAAATCAGGTTGAAAACATGAGGAGGAATTTTGAATGGAAAAATAATTTGCAATAGGATGCAGTACAATTTTGAAAGTGTATTATACATGGAAAAGGAAATTCAGAATTTTAGCCCGTGTGTCCTGGAAATGTAAGCGATTGGGTGATCAATGAATGCATGCACGTGTGCTTTAAGTTTCCATTTTTGTTTGGTCAAGCACCACATCCTCTCTTTTTCTCCTGCCTCGCCTCTAGGTGGCATATTGATGAGGGTGGGAGAAAGTCGGTGGGCTTCGGCATTACTGCGAAGGGCTGGATCTACAAGTGACAGCTCTGCCTCGAGAACTTTGTTATTTCTTTTTGCAGTCTTTTCTTTTATCAAAGGTAACATTAACTAGAAGCTTTATTATTCACCAACCCACACCAAATGCCAGGGGTAGCCACCATTAGCAGTGAGACCCCTTTCGCCGCATCTCATCCATTTCATCTTTTGTTCACTTACTCTGGAGAGCAGAATTCTTACCTGACCTACATCCCACTCAACTTTCTCACCCACTTTCACCATGTAGCTGTGGGGATGGTGGTAGAATGCAGTCCTGAGAACTGGTTCCCAGGATTGGTCCTGGTCAATGGTAGAAAAGGCAGTTTATTTTTAGGACCTCCTGCTCTTTTCTCCATTTGTTGATTATTTATTGAGTGCCTGCTGGGGGCTGTGCCTGGGAGGTTCAGAGTAAAGGGAACACACCAGTTCCGCCTTCACGAATATTCCATATCCTGCCCGCTCTCTTTAGGGCCTGTTTTCTCCTCCTTTGCGCTTAGTGATTTTGGGGCTCATGCTCTTCCTTCCCTCCAGTCAAAAGTCTAGGACAAGGATCTAATAAACTCATTCCCTCTAAATGTTAAACTACTCAGGATGTTGCTTCTCCTGGGGAACTGTATTTTAAAGGAAAGTAGAGTTAATCCAAAGTAACTTGTAATGAGGAAGGCATTCCCAGACTATAAGAAGCCCTGTCACATAGGCAGCTTATGATCTCACTGTCAAGAAAGGCCAGGGGGCCTTCTGATCACAGCTTGGTGGGGGCGGGGGCGGGGGCGGGCGGGGGCACCCACTAATAATACAAGAGGTCCCGTTTAATTGGATGTCTCTATGAGCCAACTTCTTTTCTATGTTCTTTTATTTAAATCTGTAAGAAGTCCTAGGAGATATATGTACACATATTTTACCAACAAGAAAATCAGGTTTATGGAGACAACTGGAAAATTTAAAGGACAAAATCAGGAGTTGATGATTCTGTAAGGGCAACCTGCTGAAGTGTAAATTACAAACCTGTTTTCAGTTCATTTTTCATTAGTTATATAGGAAAACTACACTTTAGGAATATAATCAGTGTAGTAGGAATACTTGTTTAAGAAAGGGTATTTTAAATTTATATTAAAATTTTATCTCTCTCTCTAACTTAGGAAACTTCTGACTAGAGGTTCTAAGATCTGTCCTTACGAGCATTTTTCCATACAGCACAATTGAGAGATGGTTTAGTTTTAGGTTTTTTTTTTTAGCTTTTGAATGTAGACATAGTCAGATAAGCATCAGATTATTAGATTAATTTAGCTCATTAGAGTTGCTTCAAAGGACAATCCTTTATCTTTTATAATTCAGCTGTGCAGGCAGCATGATTACATACTGGAAAACTCCTTTCATAGAGTAAACTTAATTATAGAACACCATTATTGAGAATTAAAGAAGGATGTAAAATAAGATCTGCATGAAGACCTCAAGAATTTGAAGTTCACAATAACTAATAGATTAGAGACACCTGTTTCAAATGGTGGGACCCTATTTTTGTTTTGCCTTGTTTTAACATCTTAAACTTCTTGGATTACCTCATAGCCATTTGGCAGAAGTCCATCATACAAAATGAAAGTGGACTATATTAGATATGGCCAACTTTTTTCTGACGAGAATATGTTTGTCTTTTAACAAGGAGTTTGCTAACCCTACTTCTTTTTTCTTGATGTAAAAAGACATGGCTAATATATCTCAGAGAGTAAAGACAGGCAACTGCTTCATCAGATGGCTTATTCCAATTTTTTATATTTGCTAGTTTTTCCTCTTGGAAGGCATCCACTTCACTTAAAGGGAAATAATAGTATGAATATCATTTGCTCTAAAATTCATACCTGGGGTTCTGATTCTAAGTTGATTTTGAAAGGATGTGCTTTCCCATCTTCAGATACCTGTGGAGACCATAAGCGAGTTTCTGCCCTGTAAACAAAGTAAATTTCATAAACTCCAAATTCGAATGGTACTTCCAGCTCTAGCATACTTGAATTTCTTAAAAATGTTTGTGAAAATACTATCATCCCTTGCTCATATAAGCAAAGGCAGTATTACTTGCTCATTATTCTACATTGTTCCACCTAATTAGTCTTCATTTTTAGTGTGCTTTGGGGTGTACCTGAGTGGATCAGAATTGCCTGGAGGATTGCTATGGACTGAATGTTTGGGTCCCTCCTCCCAAATTCATTGTAAGTTGAGATACGAATCCCCAACATGGCATTTGGATGTGGGTCATTGGGAATTTGAGTTACATTAGGTCATGCAGGTAGGGCCCTCATGATGGGATTAATGCCCTTTTAAAATGAGGAGGAGACATGAGATCGCTGTCTGTGTGCACACACCAAGAAAGGCCACGTGAGGACATACCAGGGCCTGACTCCCAAGAGCTTGACTGTACCTGCACCCTGATCCCAGACTTGCAGCCTCCATAACTGTGAGAAATTCACATCTGTTGTTGTTTGTTGTGTCAGTCTCCCAGTCTATGATATTTTTGTTACAGCAGTCTGAACTAAGGCAAAGACATTGTACAGTTCTTGGAGAAAGTAGGTCTCCAATACATGTGGGAAACAGTCTGGGAGAGGGAGATTCTGGCGGCACACCCTGCGTGGGACCACAGGGAAAATTCCTCTCCTTCCCTCCAGTCCTACCAAGGCCACCCACAGGAGACTGAGTGATCTGCCATGTGGATTTCATGTTGGCATCAAGGCTTTGTCCCATCTTTTTCACGTATCATTTGGGACGGAGTGCTCTTTAGAGGCCATGTGCTTGGCAGGAACACAGGTTATGCACAAATAGGGAAAGAGTGAATTTCACCCCACGGAATGGCAGATTGGCCAGTTGACCCTGCATTCCTACAGCATCAGGGAAAGTTGTGAATACTTGAATACAATAGCAACAGGATAAACCCACACTAATAACCATTACAACAAACTTAATTTTCACAATTAGTTTCAGACTAGGGCTCTGATGGCAAAAGATTGGGTTCAATTTCTTAATTTTTTTTTGGCAGGAAATGTCTCATTGTATAACACCCTCATGTGCTCATGCAATCACACACCTTGTGAGGTTTTTCTGAGCTGAATTCTGTACCAAAAAACCTATGACACACAGGATATTAGCAACCAATTTTTAACCTGATCACCTTTCGGCAAATCAAGAGAATTTGGGGGGAGAATTTAAAAATTCCATTCCATTCTCTACTGCATTTAGAACAGTGGGACAACTAGCCATGCTGTACAGGTGTTTCTGTGGCCAGTACCCTTAATGGTTCAATTTTTATAGTCAATTAACTAGATTAGTTGTACAGAAACAAAATTCATTTAGCCTCTTTCATTATTCTGATACTCCAGAGAATTCCTTTTAGAAATAGTTTAACTGATGCTAGATCAATTGACTTCAGTAAAGAAAAAAAAACTGTCAAAATTCTAGGTCCTGTGACACTCCTCAGTGGGAGGATGATATCATTTATAGTTCTGGGTCAGGTCCTCCTGCAAAACAGATCAAATTTAACATCATTAATTAAAGAGCACCTGTCAATTTTGAGACACAGCTGGTGTGCTGCTGCTTTAATCCTGTCCTGGGCATCAGCATGAGTCATGGATTCCGTGCCGAAGCCATCGATAGCCAGGATGACATCTCCAGGACACAGGTTGGCAGCTGCTGCCTTGCTTCCTGGAGTAATCTAGAAGAAATCATGGCACTATTTTAAAAGCCAGTATTCTGCAGTATCTTGAGTTTTGTGCCCTACATTTATATTTCATCTTTGTAACATTTGAAATGTTTCACTGGGTAGGATTTTAAATCTAACTTAAAATAACTCGTAGCCGATCTATTGTGTTAGCTCTATTTTTCCATCATCCGATATAACTTTGTTTCTTATTAACCATGTGTCATCTATTATGGACATCTCCTTCCCCTTTAAAACATATTGCATGACTCCCTGTTTGAATCATATTTTCTTTGCTTTAAACAGAATAATTTGTTTTATTGAGAAATTTTTTTTTGTCATCCAGAACTCTTTATTTAGAATAGAACTTTATGAAATTTGGGGACCTTTTCTATTTGAATTGAAACTGTTTTAGCATCTTTTTAAGTTATGGCCCTTAAAATTACATGAAGGGGCATTTAGGATATAGAAAGCTGGAAAGAGAATCACTTTTGTGTTAATAAGAAGAAGTCATGTAATATACACAAAATTAAAACTTCATGACCTCTTCAGAGAGTTGATATTGAAAGGCAAGCCACTAGTTTGGAATCTAAGGAAAGACGGGTGCCTCCAAGGAAAGATAAGATGTGAGCATAGGCTTACCAAGAGAGATGGGGCCACCATACTAGTGGTTACGAAGAATTCAGCTGAAAATATGAACAGATTTCCTAAGGCTGAGTGTGAATTAGCATTGACAGTCTAGAATTCCTGGGGACTGCAGACACAAGGGAAGTTTGTATCCATGAACAGTCTCTTTTCCATAAATGAAGAACAGATAGAATAAATAGGAAACAACAAGATGCTAGATTTTAAATAAATTTTTTTATCAGTAATTACATTAAATATAAATGGTCTAAATACATCACACTGTTTTTCTTAACAGATTATTAAACTGGGTAAGAAAGCAAAATCTGAGTTTATGTTGTCTACCAGAAACCTGCATGAACTTCTCTTTGTGTGGGGGGACGAAAGAAATTCTTATGGATATGGGAAAGGTATGGTTGTTAAATATTTGAAAGGTGGCAAATTTGAAACTATTTCCATGTTGAGTATTAGGTAATGAGTCTTTTGATTGCTATATATGTTCCCAATATTTCTGAATAAATCCCAACTATTTACAACTGTCTAGTAGTCTTCACCTTATCTTACCTTGTCTATTTCTCTAACATATCATCCCTGCTCCTCGCATCCACTGTGCTATAGCTATTCTGATTCCCTTTTGGTTCCTCAAATAGGTCAAGAATGTACCCTGTTCAGCACTTTACATACACTGTTAGTTTTGCCTGAAATGTTTCCCCCACTACCCACCCAGCTGCTCCTTCTCATCCTTTATGTCTAGACTTAAATGTCACATTCTCAGAAAGACTCCCCCAAATATCTGAAGTGGCGCCTCCAGCCCGTCACCCACCACTCTCTACCATTACACCCTGTTCATTTCCTGCATGAAGACAGTTTATTTACTTGTATATTGTCTGTCTTCCCAAAGGGACTAGAGGCTCTTGAGGACATGCATAATATTATGTATATCCCTAGTGGATATTCCAATGTTTGGAATTAGTGAATAATTAATTGAAAATGAATGAAAAAGCCATTTAAATTAGAGCTTATGAAACAAAAAGAGCTGGTCCCTACATACCAAAGATTATGACTATTAATATCAATCCATTATTGTTATATTGCAAGTTTCCACTATTTAGAGGAGAAGAATGCATACAACTTTGCTTAAACCTCACACTGCTCCAGGATAAACTAGATTGTTCCTAATGTTTTACTTGAGGGTCAGTTGTTGATTCATTTTTTTCTCTACTGTTTAAACTAGCTATTGAGTCTGTTTAATTTTGTGGCTCTATGGGAGATCCAAGATTCATCTAAATGAATCCAGTTGCTAAAATAATAAATTCTCATGTGTCTGAGAGCTTCAATCTCATCCCTGAAGTGTATATTGCCCTCACTTTATTTCTGTGATCATCTCACTGTAGTGATCATGAACATTTCCCAAGAGGAACAGTTGATAGGATCTGGGTGAGACAACTGGGGACTATTACATCTTTGGGTGGCATTTCATAGCTGTTTTCCACTAGAAATTCTCCCAGACTAGAACTGCTAAGAGAATAAAAGTTTCCATTCCTGATGTGACTTGTAAGGATAAAAATAATGTTAAACTTTTAATTTTTTCTAACTATAGTTTGTCAAAATCACTACAATTTTTGAACTTCTAAGATCAGAATGCTTTTCTTTGCATTAAAACATGAGAAAGCATGGCTCAATGTGTTTGCTTTTAAAGCCTCACCTAGTTTTCCTAATAAACTTAAATAAATTTAAGTTGTATAACACTCAATCTTGATTTAGAAAAACCTAATATTTCTTAGGTCTCATTAGGATGAATGTAAAGTAGGGTTATGTCTGCACCTGCCTATAAAAATTTTAAACAGATATCTGGGGTGCTGAGCTTAGATACTGAATATGACTAAATTTTATTAACAGTATTAATATAGAAGTTAATAACACTATCTTCTATTTACCCAAAATATTACATTTGCAAAGCTCTTTCTAATACCTTTGACTATTGCAACAACTCTAAGATAGACTGCTTCTGTTTTTCAGAGGAGAGTATCTCAGCAATCTGTAGCTTCTTACTATGGTTGGGGCAGCTGTATAGCTACATCACCAGTGGTTTCAGTGGAAAATAGGAAAGATGGTTGATACTGAAGGCCAGAATCCATTTCTGACTTTGCATTCAACCTGGTGATTGATGTCCCAGGACCTCCAAGGAGGGAGTTGATAAGAAAGAAAAAAGTCTACACAGGGAAGGATGAGAGAGAATGCCTTCACTTCTTCCTAGTCTTCAAGTTCATCTAGGCTAGATCAGAAAATTGACCACTAAATTGGCCTGGTTTTAGGAAGTTAAGTTAATCATAAGACTATGTTATTTCCCAGCATTACTTACTAGTTTATATTATTACTTACATTACTTTATATTATTGTTCGTAGTTTATTATTAACATGTTCTGTTAAATTAGGAGAAGTGAGAGCTACAGTGAGGTAGAATTTTTCAATGCATTACTTATTATTCTGGTTCATTAGGATCTCAAATATCAAAAGCATTAGAGATTATTGAAAATACTACCAATCACATAGCACATGTTTTCAAACTTGTCTGATTAGAAAAATCACATGGGGTCCTTGCTGACCATAAAGACTCTGATCTCACTCCAGAAGTCTGGGGACATGGTTTAGAAACCCTAGGAGAAGAACTAGGAAATTTCTATTTTTAACAAGTGCCTTGGATGATTTCCATTATTCACATCAACCTATTACCTGCGTCCATTCCGTTTGAAAAAAAACTAATTTAAATCACAGATAAAGCATCATATTGTTCTATTTACTCTGTAAGACATGAGGGAAGTCTAAGATATGGCTCTGATGGGATTTGTATGATAAAGATAAAGACGATTGACACAGTTATGGAGCAAGACAAGTATATACTGAAGGGCTGTACTATGGGGCATGGATCAAAGCAGTGAGAAATTCCATGGTTCAGTTGCTCTCCACTGCCTACAAATAAGCTCCAGTGGGTCACCTGGCACCTAAAGCCCTTTGGCTTTAGATCTACACTATAACTCTAGAGCCACACCCCAAATGAGCTGAGTCAGAATCTGCAAACAGGGCCTGGGCATAGGTGTTTTCAAAAGCACTCCGGCTGTGTCTAATGTGCAGCCAGGTTGGGGAATTGTTATTATTTTTGCAACTGTATTATTATTGTGAACAATTATCTCACCTAATTCGCAAGACAGTCTTTTAAGATGAAAAAAACAGATGCTCAGGAAGTCTAAGAAACTTGCTTAGGGTCACACAGTCAATGAACATCTGAAACTCCTTATGGGTCTAACTACAGCTGAAGCTCTTGCACCCCGCCACTGTACCACTCTGTGGGTAAGCTCTCCCACGACCCCTCCTATCTCTTTGGCCATATTTTTTGCATGGAATCCTGGAAAGGCTCTATCATGTCCTCTACTGACATATGAGCATCTCAGGGGGTAGAAACCCATTAAGCTATAATTATATCCCCACAGTGCCTTCCATATACAACACATTCTGCACTTAATGGATATTTGTGGGATGAATGAATGCCCTGAACATATGAATTTGCACTTCTATGCACACAGGTCTTTGGTAAAATGAATTAGATTTTTATTCCTATCAACTTTTCTAATACACTTGAATCCTGGGAAAGGGTAGCATTCAACTTTATGTATTTCTTTCTAAATGTTCAAATTTCAAATATAGTTTATATTAAACTACTTTTTTTTGTTCAAGCCTGCAAAACTTAGGGATAGACTAACATTTTCTGTGTTGGTACCCATAGTCCATATAGCATTCTCAGTTACAATGATCTTGACCCTGGGTGTGCCCTGCATAGGAAGGAGGGAGTTGGGAAGAAGAAGGACTGAGTGGGAAAGGACATACTGGCATCAGATGTAAACAGTAATTTTACATCATATACACAAAAGAAGCTTGGACTTGATTCTAAAGTGGACCATTTGTGAAAACAAACCATCTGTAACTTGGCTGTGATAGTAGATCCACCTTCTGGGTGGTCTTAAGAAAGAGACTCCTTAGAACCTTTTTACCAGAGAAAGAAAAGCAGCTCACTTGAGATGTGAACCTTAAACTTTATTCTGTGAAATGCTTAAGCCAGTTATATATGGTGTTTGCAATAACAACCCCTTCCACATCCACAACTTAAATGTATATTGCACAGAGTGTACACCTATTGCCCAAATACTGCTTTCCTACCAACTGTATCACAACAAGTTGTGAATCTTTTTGAGAATGTCTGGTTTTGATTTACCTTACTTCTGATGCTTTTTTAATGACACAAAAGATTTACTTGGCTGATTAATTGGATTGTAAACAATTATAGGGCTGGGACCCTTTGTCTGAATTTTCTGAATTGTAATTTCAACTGATGGAGGGT